TTCTTACGAAATGCTGTTGTTACTTGACAGCTATAGTATATACTGCATTTATAGTTACGACCAATTGGAGTCAACAGTCAATATTAGAAATCCGTATTAATTTCTAATAATAAGCTTTGGTTTACCTACGCGGTACTACGAAAATAAAACCTCGTAGCAAGGTGCTACGAGAATCAGTAAATTTGAGTAAGTAACTTGTATATTTTAAATGTTTTGTCTTATAAAAAATAAAAATAGGAAAGTATGTCGATCAAAGGTTTAGAGGAAGGTTACCTGGCCCCAGCTGCAAGTCGCAAGGAAACAATTTCCCATTGTCGTAAAAAGCTATTGTGGTGTCATGCAACGGCGCGAGCGCATGGAGGTCAAATGTATACCCACACAATTAATCTGATAATTGGAACTGGAACGGTTCTTTGGCATTGTTTCAATTTTTACGAACACTTGCGCAAACACATTTGTGTTTAGCTGTTAAGATACGATGTGCACATGAAGACATTAGAATAGAAGCCCGCACGTGCAGGGTCAGGCGGAGACGCTTTGGTGAGTGAATAAAGTGGGGTAAGTATTGTATTACCCTTACATAAAAAAAACCAAACACAATAGGAACAATAGGTATACTATACTACTACAGTACTGGTATGGTATAAAATTACTTGAATAAAAAACAGGTAGGTAACTCTGTTGAAAGTAAATTAACAATCATCTTTGTTTCGGTATAAACAGCATCAATTGTTAAAAATAAAAAATCTGTGTTTTGACATCGGTAATTGATATTGGCGGATAGTCTACAAATACCGACATTAGAAATTGAGACGTAATGGCTGCATAGTACCTCATTGGACGGAACAAGAACCCTAACCTAACAACATACGTACCTTGATATTTACGATAACAAGCCGAAAGTAAATTTAAAATTATTTTATAATTGACCTGACCTTATTGTTAAATGTTAATGCTTCGTAATAGTTTGGAACAAATCGGTACAAGAACAGTAGCCGGCAATTAACTAAATTATACGCACCTACACCGGTCGAACGTTTAAAGTAATCGGTGCTCCGTATCTCGAATATGTTTTATTTTTGGACAACTTACTGTGTACCAAGATTGTTTCATTAATATTCCATTAAGGAAGGGCAGCTAATGCGATAAGCACACAAGGGGAGCCACTTGGCTTACTATTACAATGGCTTCCAGATTTTAAGGTTAAACTCGTAGAAAGTCCGCAACCGTGACAACAGTTTTTCGCTTGATTACTTGTAAAGGCCATGCCCTAAACCGTTGACGGATGTTTTTTCGACAAGCTTTTGGGATCACGTTTCATTAATCTAGTATCTTGATGTGTAGTCACGTATGCCAAAGATGTTGCAAGTATTAAGTATTAAACTAACAATGTACAAGATATATCTCGAAAATCTTTTGCCGTGACTTGTTAGAATACAACCATTCTGCTTCTAAATTAAAGCAATAGGGTACCTAAAAACCACTTAGTTAAACTAATTGGTACGTATAGAACTTTTTTATGTCGAGACAGCTGAAAAATAGTGTTATCATATCATACAAGGTATTTAAAAAAAAATAGAAATGCAGTGTTTTGAGGTGATGAAATCAACATTTGAATTATCTTTTAATATTTATATTGTCGCTAAAAGATATATTATGTACTTTTGATTAAGAAAATGACTCGATTATACTGTAAACATCTGAAAACGTTGAATTTGAACTTGTGGACTTGTTAATAACCTGAGTACAGGAAGTATTTAGGTTAGCAGGTATAACAAAACAATATTTAGGTATTGTTTTGTTCAGATGTGATTCTTGGTGAATGTTGTGTATCTTCAGTGGTGTCAACAGTGTTTTGTTCGATTGTTTCTACGAGTGCAAACAATGCTCTCGATATAACTATAGGGCCTAGCTGATCGTAAACAATAATAAATAAAGTGTAGGAATTGTAGGAATGTGTAACAGGTTTTTTTTTTGTGAGGGGAAAATCATCAAATGACTTCTCCCACCCAGGGCCGGGCAGGAGGGAGTGTCAGACTCTTACTGACTAAAAACCCCCCTGTTCCTTCTCCTGCTCTGTGCCGAGGTCACGGTACCTCATTGCGCTTACCCCGCAACCCCGGCTGAGCATCAGCCCTTTAGGGCCCCGTCTGTGGTGGTCGAATGGCTCTTTGAGGCGCACGCGGAACGCTACGCGCCGTAATGTGTAACAGGTAAGTATCTATTTAAACAATGTACTTAGTAACTACTTTGTCTGCTCTACAAATAAAGAAATAACCTACATTTTAAGTGCCTGACAGACAGACAATTAATGCAGAATCAGCTGGACCTACAATGCTGAAACTTAGCATAGGTTTTTCTTGAGCAGCGTATGAGAGTGATTATGTACGAATTTTCCGCGGAAATGAGTAATGGCTAATCATTAGCCAATAAACCAATTAAATAGCTAATTTAATTGGTTACTTTCCTTTCAATTAGTAATTTTTGTAAAGAAGTAAAATACAAAAAAATAGTCACTCTTTTGTTCATTGATTTTACGACATACCTACAAACAAACAAACACGAATATTTCGTTTTTTTTTCTAGCAAATTTTTAAGGAAGAAGTTATATTGATATTTGACGAATAGAACGTGACTTCACAACACAGACTCGTACAAAATTCACAGAAAACAGTAAATTTTGACAATTTGACAATATTGAATTTGAATATTTTTAAAATAACCAACTTGTGCGTCTGATTTCTGCAGTTAGAAATATATTTTCCATGAGCTCCTTGTCGTATGGCAAGTTTTTTAGGGGGGAAATCGTCATTTGACTTTTCTCGAGTTTCTTCTTCTCTTTCTGCGTGGGGCGAGAGGGAGTGCCAGATTCTTATTGACTAAAAACCACCCTAACCACTCAGTTAATTCTTTTGCTCCAGGTTGCGACCACGGTACATTATTGCACTATTTTGCATGCGCAACCCCAGCTGTGCCGTATGAGTATGAAAAGTTAGATTATGATAACTTAGTCTATTTATCTATTTAACTAAAAATGGATCGCAAGATGTGTTGGTAAGCGCATAACTCGGCAACGCCTGGATCTATTAAGAGAATTCTTTTTTTGGTGTATTTCTTATAGTCAGCGGAAGGTTCTTATGAAAGAAAATAATAAGTATAAAAGTGCGGGGGAAAATAGACCCCTTCGTTGTTAGTTGGAAATTTAACCCGCGCGGGGGAGGGCCGCTAGTAGAAAATAAAACAAAGTAATTTTTAATAGGTACAGTAATGTGCACTGAATGGTAACTATTATAGTGGTACGTAATCGACAAAATAAATCTTATCAATGATCGTTATTACTATCAGTAATTGAAATCTAAAACTTAATAGTCGTTTGTTTGTCTGATGTAATTTTGCACGTGGTTCAAGTTGCCATGTAACTTTAGTGCAATGCCATGTAACTTTACACGTGGTTCAAGTTAACGCTCATTAGCCTACTTGCAAAAAGGTTTTGTATCAAAAAAAGTCACAAATTCTTTATGACAATTAAGCTGACTCAGTGAATTCTGTACCATTTTTAAATTAACTCATATCTTACCTATTTATTTTTTTGCTGTCATTTATACAACAGTTTGTATGTAAAATTGTTTTTTATTATTTTCTTGTAACATTTTCTGATTTTTCTTATCTTAAATGAGTTTCTATGATTTTACGAAGATTTAAATAGGCCGAATCATTTCAGCCTTTCTTTCTTTCCTAGTGTTAGCGAGCACAACGAACAGAAAATACCTATAAAATTTGGCACGAGTAGCTAAGACGTCAATGTTTAAATTTAAATATAAAATCTGCATATATCTAGCGTTTAATTAGATACTTACACATGTTGAAAATAAAAAATAAAAAAATAAAAATATGTACGTCATTTTCATTAAAATAATATTGTAGGTAACCTATTCCGAGGAGGTACAATAAAATAAGCTTTTTTTAAATATCTGAATGAGTACAGTTTGTCAGCTAGTACTTCATTCAACTGTGACACCCTAACACACGTGCTGTGAGGAGGGACGGTCCATTAGCCTTACACAAAGACCAAACGGTAAGGTAGGTAAACGGTAGATAGCACTTACGATTTATGAATGTATGCTTACGATTTTAAAGATAACCTAATATAGATAAACCTCATTGTTGTGTGAGGTTTAAGAAAAACTATACTTTTTAGATTGTTTTTCTTATTAAGTAGTATACGAATTTGGTAGAAACGACTAAAACAGTCAATGAACTATAATATCATATCGTCTTCCACGACAACACACATAAGTAAATAGTGGCCTTAGAATAATATGTATATTATGTACTTAGGTAAGTACGATGCACAAAGTTCAAAATAATAATGACCTTGTCTTTTAAAAAGTAAAAAGGCGAATTTTTCCTCGTTCTGCAAGACAAAATACTCAAAAGTCAAATAGTCAAATATTTTGGTAAACAGCATTCAAAAACAGTAAATCAATAAAATTTGGTGCGATTTTACGACTGATTCTATGATCTGAACTGAAAAAAACAGTCAAAGTTTTGGATGGAAATAGCGATCGATTTCAAATTTCGATAAATATGTGAAATAACATAAGTATGAAATATAAAATGATATAATATGCAAATAAAATAAATATTTAAAAACTACATTAGAATGCTGTGATCAGCAGCAACTGACTTCTTACCGCCCATTCATTCACCTGCTGAGGGCCATAGCCGAATAGGCGTACCTAGCACGCGCGACCCCGGCCAGATAAAATTTAATAAAGAACTAAATCAGTATTATTTATAACTTATTAACTATGTGTGAGATAAAGTGGGTGAACAGTAGGCCTACCATGACTACTTTAGTCTTCCGGGCGAGAAAGAGAGATGGAGCTATACACCTTTTATAGCTCCATCCCTCTTTCTCGCCCGGAAAATTCACGCTTTAACACTTCATTGTAGGCTTAGAGGTCCTAAATATGTATACATAGTTTAATTGCTATTACTTACCCGATGTTGGTAAGACTGTTGTTGCTTGCGGTAAGCGAGTCGGAAGCGTTTATCCCTTGCGCCATGGCGGCTAGCTGCCGGTCGAGCAAATTGTTCTGTTCCAGCAACTGGCTCCATTGCCGCACCGCTGTCTTTGATGATGACAGCTCTTGACGAAGTTGTCGCTCGTCTAAGGAGTTGAGACCGCTGCGAAGTGAACTGTCCAGCCTACGATGAAAAGTTATGTTGGAATGTACGTAATCAGATTTTGTCTAAAGTTTTGAGTCGTAAAGAAGTAGTGCTAGGCAATGATATTATAAGTAAAATGGTATAGGTAGGTTACATAAACAACATTCGATTTTCAAAAACGGCACACTTATGCACACATGAATAAATCGTATGATACACGTTAAAGTGGGATGGCATGATTCATTAATCGCAAGTGAAAAAGAGACAAATATGAAAAAGTGTGGCTAGTTAGCTACATTTTAATGTATCATTTGCTGAGCGCTTGTAACCTATCTACACCTTTTTACATATAAATCATTGGTGCTAGGTAGTAGGTACTATTTTTCTCTCTAAAATTCACAATACGGTAGTTTCCAACTAGTCAAATTCAATACTTTTATCCAAATGTCAAAAACGGTACTTTTCTATGAAATTTGTATGAAAAACTGAGGTATGACGTCATAACAGTTTTGCGTCAAATAGCTTACTTATTTCAGAATAATGAGCTAAAAAAATCTAAAACTTAGTGTATCGATCGATCGATGAATAAAAGTATAGTTATTTTTCAATATTTTATTGTATTAAAACGTCGAATTAATTTATTTTTGACCTAGGACACTACCCAATTATTTTAGTGTTTAGATCTAATATATTTAATTAATAGACCCTAAATGCGTAACGATAAAAAATATGTTTAGGTACATATGTATTTAAGTGATAATTTAAAGTTTGAATCAAAAACAACATTGTTCTATCTGTACTCAGAACCTTTGATTACAAAGAGGTTAATGTTGATTTAAGAATAAGTTCTTAGTAATCTTTAAGATATTTGAAGTTACCTCTCAATGTAGTCGTCGACGCTCTGTAAGCTTGTGATGGACTGCGCCAGATCGTTGTCCATCATCAGGTCATCTGACGCGAGGCTGGACAGCGTGTCGAGTGATGGCGTCCGCTCAGTACCGCCATTCCGCAAGCCACACACTGTTATAGTTAAAACATATTAATTTGTACCTAATAAGTAAATATTGTCATAGTTACTTGAAATAATAATTATTCTAAATCGACTTAAAATAAAAATATATAAAAATAAATAAAAATAATGAACAAAATCATTAAAAATAAAATACGTAATGTGTACGAGATTTTATTGCCGCCAATTTTTTTTTATTTAAAAATAGAACACAAGGGTTTTAATTTTTTTATTATATTTTCGTCGCACGAAGGTTTATTTAAAATATATTGTTTGAGGTTCTATTTTTTGAAATGTTTTTTTTTTTTTTGTAAGTACTTACATAAAAATAAAATTATTATGTAGTTCATTATTATGATAAATACGGCTTCGACAAAGCAGCAGATGCGAATCGATTTTAAATAAAACTGAATACCTCGGTACTTGTAGTACATATATGGTTGTGGTGATTGAAACAAAGACAATGATACATGTCGGCTATTGTTTGATATTCATCTGAAATTATCGGCCTTGGCAAAGAGACTCAAAAGTTATTTTCTACTAGTTCAATACAGATTTTTTGTGAAGGTAGCCTCGGGCCATAGAGTATATCAAGGCAATGAACTAATAGATGTAATAAGTATTGATGATTTATCCTGTCCCATAATAGTAGTGTATCTAAAAGGAGGTTTTTTAATTTAAAAATAGAAGCTTGGAAATAAATACTAACATTTACGATTCCTTTGAACCAACGGACTGGAGGTAATACGCTCTCTTGACCTTCGCAGATGTTTGCTAGTATCCGTCTCGAGCGTTTTATTTGAAGGGCTGCCGTCTGTGTTTTCTAGAACAAAGAAAGAGATGTAAACTTATGTTATAAGTAGGTACTTATTTAAAAATATTATTTTTTGTTTTATAGGTAGGTACTAAGTATAATAAACATTTTTAATCAGCAGTAGATACACCTACTTAGCGATGATTAAAAATGTTTATTATTAGACTACTTCGTTATTACTATATAATTTTTAAATAGAGAACTTTTCTATCAGCGTTGCTCTTGTGCAAAGCTGGAGCGGTTCGCTAGTTAATCTATAAAAGTCTAATTACGGTGTAAGTGAACTGAATAAGGGCGGATATTATACTTGCTATAGACTTTCCACCATAAAAGTTATGCTTTGTCTGTAGCCTTCTTTTATTTAGAAGTAAATTGCTAAGCATATGCCTGAAGGTATTACTTAGCTACTCTGCTATTTAAACATACAATTCTTATAACCAGTTTGTCTGTATATATACTTAGTCGGGTCATAAGTTCTGTCACAAACTTTTGATGTAATAACTTATACGCCTTTTGACAATTATTTAAAAATTATATATGAAATGAAAGGTCATTAAATGTACAATATAATTTTATTTACATTATTCGAAATGCCCTCCCCCATTTTGAACACATGCCCTTAATCTACGCGGCCAGTCATCGATCGCTGCACGCACCACATTCATATCTATGTCTGCCGCTGCTTTAACCAGAGATGCTCGGAGAGACTCCAAATTCGGGTGAGGTTTAGCACAGACTTTTTCCTCCAAATATTGCCATATCTTGTAGTCCAGTGGGTTTAAATCTGGACTAGAAGAGGGCCAGTCTTCATGCCGGATGAAGTCAATTCCACGAGCGATCAACCAGTCTTGCGTACTTCGTGCCTTATGAGCCGGTGCAGAGTCCTGTTGGAATATCCAATGCCTGTTCCTGAACATTGTCTGAGAAAGAGGTTCCACTATGTTTGTTAGGACAGTATTTTGATAAACTTCGGCACTAGTTCTCACACCTTTTTCACAGAAAAACACCTCAGTTACGCCTGAATATGAGACTCCAAGCCAAACCATGAATGAGGAAGGGTAATGCCCACGCTGGACCCTCGCAATACGCGCGCTTGCTTCTTCACTGCTGTGGGCATACACCTTATCATTTTGTTTGTTAAAACTTTCTTCAATAGTAAAATTTTTTTCATCCGAAAAAAGAATTTCGCGGTATTTTTTTCCCGCGTACCGTCGTAGCAAAGCGCGGGATCTGTCTAGCCTAATTTTTTTTAAACGCTCGTTCAAAAAATGTCCTGTCTTTTTACGATAAGCTCGTAGTCCCAGGTCTTCATTTAGTACTCTTTTAACAGTGGTTCTGCTTAGCCCCATCTGCAGAGCTAGGATTTTTTGTTTACGTACGGGATTTCGTTCGATTCGCGCCTTCACTGCTTTGATGACCTTATGTGTCCGAACTGTGCGAGGTCGGCCGCTTCTCTTACGATCTTCGAAGCTTGACTCTTCGGTGTATCGTTTGATAGTACGATAAACAAACCGTAACGTTATTTTCAAATTTTGAAGAATATTGAAAATGTCTTTTGGCGCGTAACCACAGCGGTGCAACGCGATAACCGCGATTCTGTCTTCTTTATTCGACCACTCCATATTTAAAAATGAATAAAAAATAATTTCTTTTTTATTTTCTACAAGCGCGAAAGTTCTATTTTTAAAATAAGTCGAAGAATTTCTGGCCAGTAATCGAAAATTAAAAATATAAGGTTTTGACAGAACTTATGACCCGACTAAGTATAGGTTTATGTACTTACTTCTAAAGAGTAGTGCTGGCTGGTCAGCGATCTCATCATCGAAGAAATCTCGGCCATCAGACAGGGAGAGGGATCCGGAGGCATGTGTTGGTGTCCCTGGAGATTCTGGAGTCGGGTTCTTGCTACCATCTCCACTACCGGCGTCACTAGCTCTCTTGATTTCACTATAGACAAAGAAGTTATCAGCTTTCTTAGTATTCGATTTTTAAATTTCGAATTTCATCGTCATAAGAAATGGTAAATTGATGTTTGATTTGAATGAAAAGCGTATTGGAAATTATACGGAATATATTATGACTGCTCATTTGATGTGGTGAGTGGGCAACCGTGTGCCGTGCAACGTGGCGGGGTTCGAATCCCTCACCAATTTTTTTTCCTACTTTTGTGGAAATTGTTGTTCCAAGTCTGGGTGTGAAATTGTATGTTTATAAAGGCCTGCACCAACTTCGAAAATCTTAGTGCCACATTTTAAAAACGACTTAGTTTTAAGGATACGTCGGTTAGTTTTTTTAATACTGATTTTGACCTTTACAATGACCACTAAAATCGAGCAAACCTTTAATAATTTTCTTCAAGATCATAGCTTAATAACCCATCACTGCTTTACTTACATCACAACCTCCTTAGTCGGTTGCAAAGCTTCTCCATCGATGTTATCCTGTTCCACAATCGGTTCTGGAGACCTGGTCTTGGTGTTACAAGTTTGATATGCCGAGCTTATCGAAGGAGGATCCCTTTCCACCTGCAGCTCGTTATTGGAGTCACTGGTACTTGTTGAGGAGATCAGGCTGTCTGCAGGTGAAGTTTCGTCATCCAACATGCTTTGCGTGGAGGTTTCCAGGGCCGATAAGTCAAACTTGGAGTCTTCGAGGGTAAGAGTTAGGTTGTGGTGGTCACCGCTTTGGTTTGTGCATGTGCTTGTGGTACTGTAGTTTGAACTTGTCATGGATCCTGTGGAAAGGAAAAAAATTTGTAAGTAGGTAAAATGTTTCGGTTTCGTTCTTAGTAACGTGTTAGATTGGAAAGGATATTGTACTTCCAGCAATGGGCGGAATAGGGTTGATGATGATTAACATGTGTGATATTTATTTTTAATATTTATTAAAACTTAATACCACCCCTATGATTGCATCCGATGTGCAGAAACATGTTCATATTTACACAGTTTGAAAACAAATCGAATGTTTATGATATGATATTATGTACCAATTAGAATTGAGAGAATATCTACATATTCCCCTTAAAACATTGGAGTGTTTCGGAATCACTCCTCAATGAAATAATTAACTTATATCCGAATCACGCTAATGGTAAATTATTCGTACCTAAGTTATTATTCTCTAAAATACATTACTGTTAATTGAATACGAATTCAACCATGTCTGACGGTTTTTGTCTAATAACTATACTACTTATAAAGCGTATAAATAATCTAATATGATGTTATGAATTAAATAACAAATACATTATCTTTCTTAGATACAAGTATACAATTGTTATTAGCTCGATTGTGTGAGTATGATTTTACTTTACTGTCGTATATTTAGTACATGTTTTATTAAGTTATTTTGCTATTCAGAGCGAGAATCTAATAGATGATAGAACAATGTGAATTTTATCACTAGTTTTTATTACATAGGCATCGGATGAGTATTGGACCAACATTTATTTTTGTAAATAATTATCTCATCACTTATAATAAAAATAAACAATGAAACGTGTTGCTAAGCGTAAAACTCGGGAATAGCTTAACCGATTTCGCTGATTCTTTTTTATATTAATATCAGAATAAACTCCCTATTAAAGAAACAGAAGAACAATAAAAAGTCGAGATATACCGCAAATCTCAATAAAAAAATTAACTACATTTTCGTATTCATGAACGGACTTTAATGATTTTAAAGTTTTGTATAGGTACCTACCCATCATAGTCGCCCGGAGTGCGTCATGCTGACTCATGGTGAGTGATTTCATGAGGAGAGGATGTGGAGGAGGTGGTTCGTCAACGATCACTATCGTCTTCTTAGGTATCTCTGGTTCCACCTTCGGCGGCTCCTTGTTATCAAGCTTGGACTTATCGTCCTCACAGCTCGATACACTTAGAGCTAAGGACACGTCATCCTGTGATCTGAAAAGAGATAATAAAATTATTTTCTTTAAATCGACTGACTGACTGCCGCGCAACGTGTCACGGAACAACTCTTTGTGTGATCAACAAATTGTTTTTATGTATGTTAAATTGGATGTTTGTAAATGCACTCACGATATAGAAGAAAATCCCAGTGTGATCTTATTTCTTTTTTTTAATTTAATCATCCCGTTTTTCTTAAATCTGCTCCTTTAAAATTTACTTTAGGTATCCAAACCACTAGAGTAATATTGCTCGTTGTTAAGCTTTAGGAGCCCGTTATTGCAAAAACAGATTGCAACTCAGCGTGGATAATAGCAAAAGCAAACTAAGGTCGTTCATAGGGGAGCTGTGTCGAAAAGGGGACTTAATCACTAGTTTTATAGGGCTGGCCATTTTTAATTATTTTTTGTGTACAACAACCATGTATGTAAACGTTTTAGTAAAATTTATGTTTCCCTTGAAGTATTTTTTAGCCCTAATTTGAGGATCATCTTTTAGAAAAACGTTACATTTAAAATTTTGGATGATTCATTGATTTACCACTCACGTATTCAAACGTCCCTCCATTATTTGAAAATAACGACTTACTCATGAATTAACTTGATGTAATTGGTAGGTAATATCCGCGTCATTGCGACGTGCAAGCTCCTCATGTATAAGAGTCCCGTTGTGACTTGAAACTAGTAGAGCATTTTGAGAAATTAATTTGCGTTAGCAAGTCGTTATTTTCAAGTACTTTAGTATGTTTCGCGATAGTTACTTACTCTCTATTATAGATTTGAAATTTATACCTGGTAGCCATTGCTTCGCCAGCTGCATGGCTCTGCCAGGCACCGCTGTTGCCAAAGTGGCTCTCCTCACTCTTGCAAGATGGACTGGATTCCTTTGACGAGTTCACTGTCGTTGGAGACACTACTCCGCTTGAGGACTTCACGAACGAATTCTAAAAGATAAATTAGTCAAAGATTAAGAAATGATATTGTGGTTTTATCTTCAATTAGATTTTATTTAGAGGTTTCCGCAGCTTCGTTTGCAAACATTTATTTCGTTTAAGTAGTTGCAAATAAAACTGTCGAGTAATTGTCGCAATTTTTGGGTTCGTATTCCTTATCAGACTAGGGAAATTATTGCTTTCGGAATCTTAAAGCACCATGAACTGGACACATAACTTAGTGGCGATCATAGGTCATTAGCACCACCGGTCATAGGCTTCTCAAATTGCATGCCAACCTACGTGTATGTTACCGTTACTCTACCAAGCTGGGGGGCACCATAAGCTATTGCATAGACGTGGTCTCCACTCCAGTACACCTCTACCCCAATGGTCATCAGTTCTTCGACAAAAATGTGACCACTGCCGCTTCATTTTGTTAATCCTTAAGGCTATATCGACAACTTTAGTCCTCTGTCGGTAATGATTATTCCTCTTCTACATATGTACTTATGCAATGTGATGTAAAAAATTGTCGTGGTGGCCTGGAGGTTAAGGCGCCCGCTTCTCATGCATGAGGGTGCGGGTTATATGTACTTTCTATGATTATTTAGACACCACTGACTGGTGAAGGAAAACATCGTGAGGAAACCTGGACTTATAATTACTAATTATAAGTTTGAAATCGCCAATCCGTCTTGAGCAAGCGTGGTGATTAGTGTTCAAACCTTCTCCGTGTGAGAAGAGGCCTTTGCTCAGCAGTGGGAACTTATAGGCTGTTGATGTGTGTGTGTGATGTGAATGTTATGTAAATTAAGTAGTTTAATATTATTTTATAAGCTAGTAATAGCCCTCTTTGCAACGCCTGAAAAAGGCCATTAAGCTGTGCCTGTTATTTTAATTTAAGATCCTTGAACTACCTTAACATGCAAATAAGTATTTGAATTTGAATTTACATATCTTGTTTGCAAAATCGGCTCAAAAACATTTAAAGTAATGTTTTATAATATGCAAATACTTCATCATTATTTTCGAGTAATAATAATGTACCTAATGGTTAAAAAAAAGGAATTACAAACATTAATGTACTTAAGTAGGTAGTAAATTACCTGCTTGTTCAATTTCTCAGGTTGTGCCCTATCCAGAACAAATTTCTCCTCATCTAGATTTGTTTGAATCAAAGAAGGCCTGTTTCTATTTCTATAACGGTCCAAGGTTGACATGGGGGAGTTCTGTTTCTGCGACAATTCTGATGCTGGCACTGGTTTCGGAAGGATTGGAGACGGCGGCTTGTATGTGGGTGCTGGTGTGACTTCGTACTCTGGAGTCAGCTCGTCATCGAAGGTGCTTGGCAGTTTTGGAAGAGGAATCACTGCCTGACCTGTGATTAAAGCGTCATCTGGAAACAAATATTGTAATTACGATTACGTGATTTTCGCATTGCACTTCAAATAGTGTAGTAGCTATCTATGGTGATATGCTACTGCTGTTAACCTAGGGATTATTAAAAAAATATGTTTTTATTCCGTCAACAACAAAAAAAGAAAGTGAGTAAATAAATTTCATTTCATCATCATACATTTTTCTTTAGACACATTTTTAATCAACATTATTATACTATGTGCAATTTATGGGTGGGGTTGGGTCTTATAGGAAGAAAAGATCTTCCTTTTTCATCATCATCATCAGCCTGATTTCATCCACTACTCGACACAGGCCTCCCCAGGCTCGATGTTCAGCTCTTCTCAATTTTTACTGACATTCATATTTAAATCAATGGAAAGATAAACAAATAACATCATACCCATAATATCGAGGTCGGAAACTTGCAGCTCTCTTAGATGGAAGCAATGAGAGTTTCGCATGACCATCTCCAGGTTTCGCGGACGTCGGCGCATGCGTGGTGAAGCATCCCCACCACCTTCACCACCAGTCCACACCCCGGAGTCACTTGACACTGCTGATGCTGCGCCTGGGTAAATCAGAAAATAAAACTTATGATCACTGATAGAAATGAAGAAAGAATGGTAGCACTGATAAGTTAAGTATATTAAATAGTTCCTAGAAAAATATAAGTATAAGTAGTACGACTTTTCACAATGAACCTGATGATCATGAATAAGGGCCCCATTGTGACTTGAAGGTAGTAGAGTTTTCTCAATTACTTCACCTCAGTGAGGCGATATTTTTATAAAATTTTGTGTTTCGCGATAGTTATTATCTACACAAAAATATGCGTATGTGAGCGTGTAATTAGGTATGCGTTTATTTATTTTATTTATTTATTCATAACACAAAACAGTCTGATTGGCAGACTTAATGTCTTAAGGCACTCTCTAACAGTCAACCATAGGGTAGTGCGTTTAATATATAAATAGTAGGTATTTTTTTTATCTTTATTTTATAATTAGGGATTTTTTTCCTTACAGAAGATTTCAGTCCTATTATTAAATACAACATTCAGTACTAACTTATCTACTAACTAGCTACTCTCGCGCAGTTTCACCCGTTGCACGGCTCCATTTCACCGTAGCGTGATGTTTTATAGCCTATAGCACTCAGGAACATTGTAGCCATCTATCAGTGAAAGAATTTTGGCAATCCGACCAGCAGTTCCAAAGATTACCCCTTACATACAAACTTACAAACTTACAAATTTTACCTCTTTATAATATTAGTATAGATAACACAGCTAAACCATTCATAGGTTTAACTAGCTAAGGGCTAAACATAAAATAATTAGACGATACATTTTTTAGCCTCAGATGATAATGGTGACGCTAATATATAAATAGTTACATATTGCAACAAAACGCTGTAAACGTTCAAACTAAATTTAAGTCGTAACTTTCTAAAGAGAATCGTCGTAAATCATTATATATAATATACAAACATAATTGAAGACGTTTAATTTTCTTGACTTTTACTTTCGGAACAAAATTAATTATAATTCATAGTTCATAATTACTGTTTGAGGTACATAGTATTTATATGTAATAAATTACTTATTCTTTCGCGTTTTTTTGAGAGCATCGAATTGCTACTCTTTTAATGAGATTATTTTAAAATGGTTTTTCTATTACCCATACAAAATTATTTATTCAAATTCAGTACCTTCACATTTAGGTTTTATAATTGAAGAAATTTTTAAGTGCAGGTGCACTTACATAAGAATATTTTAAATTTAAAAGTGAAAAGCCAGGCACGACGTCAGACTCCTTGCTAGCACAGACTTAAAAAAACCCAATAACACTGTGAGATACCAACTTTCTATATACACCATACTACCATACCCTTGTTGAACTTGAGACAACCTGACCATCAAGGCAGTAGAAGCAGAACTCCATTTTTAAATAGTAAGTAACTTTTAGCTGAAATTGATTACAACACACTCACACACGCAGCTATTTTTTGTGACGTGCATGCTTAGTCAATTTTATTAGCAGTTTTTATGAAGGAAATGTCAACCCATTGAAGTTTGTTTACGCAAACTAAGATTATACTGCATACTATTTACTGCTTTTTAGTGTCAGGTTTAGTAATCGTGGATTAACTATCCATTATATAACTGGAAATGATCCATTATATAAATTATACAATTGGAAAATTAATAATAATTTGTTAACACGAGAGCTACGTCTGCCAACAAACTGCTATGCAAGTTTGGCAGAAGTATATTTTTTTTTAAATAGTCGTTAAAACAAATAAAGCATTTATTTATTTATTTTTTATTTTAAAAGACAACTTGAAGGGGTGGTTGACAAAAATCGAACAATTTTCGCGATTGTACGATCAGTATTTCTAAAATCCAGATTTACACCAAACCTACCAGGACAAACTCATATCATAGAGCTTTATAGCATAGAAAATAACAACATATAATTAATTAATATAGCACTTGACTACGTCTTGAAAGCAGATATGGTCAAGGTACGTTTTTATGATCAGCCCATAAGTGCCGCTTGCTGAGCAAAGGTCCTTTCTCATACGGAGAAGAGCATTGGTCGCCACGCTTGCTTAAGGCGGATTGGCGATTTGAAATGATATATTTCATAAATAATGAGAAAGTTTAAGTCCAGGTTTCCTTCACAGATCTTGGATTTTTTCCTTTATCCCTATATCAATGGTATGGTATCTAAATAAACTTAGAAATTACATATAACTCAGAAAAGTCACGTTGATACTTGCCAGGTTAAAACCTTCATGCATGATAGCTGAGTGCCAAGCTCCAGACCAGTACGAAATCTTTACCACAGGTTAGAATAGTAATTTAAAATTAAACACCGAAACCCTTTCCCAAGAATAATAAAAAAGTATGTCAATATTGATTAATACATTGCAAAGAGTTTCTAGTTGATCATACAGCCGGAGGCAAAAAGACACTGTTTTATAATATGCAATTATTATAAAAGTAAAACAATGGCTCACCTTCCCTCCATCCGTCAGTAACACCGGATTTCCTCGTGTTGTTCACCACCTGAAGATAAAAACAATGTTTTAACATGGCGTCACCTTTCACTTCACTTTCACACAAATACAAATATATTGACCATATCGTGTCTCTAACTGAAATGCATAGCTTTGAATGAACCCCACACTCCCTGGTTGCGAGACCAGATGTCGAAATGACCCGTATACAAACGAAGTCAACTAACTTTAAAAATAAAACTGACACACACGTAGATTCTTCCAATAAAACTTATCTTAACACTGCAAATTTAATATAACTCACTTTCTTAAATTTCTTCGTCACGTAATATAGAAACTTATTAAAATATATAATTTTTATTTCTAGTTTAAGAATCAAAATAAGTGAAATAAAAAAGTTTTTACAAACACGTCTTGTCACGGTCCAGAACGAGGGGGAAATGTACTGTCTAATTAATTTGCTTTTTAACGCGATAGTAGGTACATTGCAAAATACAATTATGTACGTATGCATGTATGTATATGTGCGAGTATCTATGTGTGTTAACTCTTCAATTATGCAAGTAATATGCAAGAACCTGCTTGGTGTTTTTTTGGCAAAGAATATTGTTTGTAATAAAATATCAACATTTTTTGAAATGAATATATAGGAACGTGAGAAATTTTTATCGACAGTGGAAGTTCTAAATCTTCGGTTTTCTAATCTCTTGTGTATCGCTACGCTAGATGCACTGTGCACCGTAGATATTTAGAGTATACGGCGACCGGCATCGTACACGACAGTCTGAAATAGACAAGTTGTGACCCAGTTTCAGCGTCATACTAATATGAACTTTTGTACACAAAAAATAAAGCAGCAAATCAACTGACCAGGAAGCTCTTATGTAATTATTTATGGACCATTTTACGTCCATTAAAAATGTTAAATTTGAAAAATGTCGTCACAGATACTTTGGTGTTGTTTTGATTTCGAATTTACCGCAGCTATTTGTGTTTTATAAGCAGTAATCGACCATATTGCTTTTTATCTTCACCATTATCAATATCATCAAGGAAACGATCTCTCAAATAAATTATCGTTTTTAAAATGACGTAACATTTTAAGGACATTTTAGTAATGGTCTTCCTGATAATTTGAGACTTTATACGTAGGTATAGACAAGATAATATTAAAAAATTATCATGTTTTCAAATGAATATTTTGCATACTATGGTTGTGCTATACAATTATCTTTCTATTTTAATAGACATATATGCTTCGAGTAATCATTTTCTGTAATTACAATATTCAAAAGTCCCGTAATAGTACGGTCTAATGATTTCACGATTGGCGGTTAAAAGGTTTGTGTAGGTGGATTAAGAAAATATGTATTGTAATAAAATGAAGATGATTTTTAACACCGGACCAGAAGCGAGGGGTTGTTATAAATTTGATTAACCTCTATTTCCGACTGGGGTACCGTAGTATTTGTTTCTATTTCACAACAATGTTTATACATTTAAAGTAATATTGATTTAACTATTATAATCTAAACATGTACCTGTTTCAGGATTGTTCATAAAAGAACTTAATAAAAAAATAAAAGACGTTAGTTTAGTTAAATTTCGGATTAGTATCTACCTATATCTAGACATATTTGGCCATTTGTACTGATAAAACATTTTTGGACGCTACCTATTTTAAAAATTGTTATTGTTAAAAAGTTAAAAAATTATATTTATAGAAAAAAATAACAATACTTATCTGCACACGTACAATGTATAATAACAATATACCTATATATATTTTTATGGTACCTAATAAGTCGGCAAACGAGCAGACGGATTACGTGATGGTAAGCAATCGGCGCCGCCCATGAACACCCGCAACATCAAAGGAGTTACGAGTGCGTTGCCGGCCTTTTGGGTATAGGGGTTTTGGATATTTAAGGATTGGGAAGGTGAGGGGAGGGATTGGGCCTCCGGTAACTTCACACGGCGAAACACAACGTTGTGGTTGTTTCACGCCGGTATTCTGTGAGGCCGTGGTATCACTCCGGTTGAGCCGACCCATTCGTGCCGAAGCTTGGCTCTCCCACACTTATATATGGAGACAATGACGTCACAATAGGTAAGTACCTGTTTAGTAGCCTTAGCATCAATATGCTTGACGGCTGGATACTGTGGTCGAGGTAGCTGTGTGGTCTGGAAGGTGTACTTTCCAGGGGCTCGCTGGGGTTCAGGCTGGACTCGAGGCACGGAGGCACCTCGTGAGGCCGGCTCTGATATCCGCACGCTTTTTGTTGGACGAACATCCTGGAAAGATATTGGACTGTATTACAGAAGATTCAAGTCCTCAAAGCAATAGTTCCGGAATGTGCCAATTTAGGACTTATGTCTTATGACAAAATCTGTTAGCTGTTATATTTATTTGGCGTATTAATGCAATATTGTTTAGTTTATTTATCAGTATTTATATCTAGCAGTACATTTGTATGTCAATCGACGGCTAAAGAGCGGGTGGACCGTAAGAAATTGACTCCGCCAATCGACAACCGTAACTTCAGAAGAGTTGTACACTTACACCTCTAGTGCGTTGTCGGCATTTCGGACATAAAATTGTTAATTTGGTGGCTTGGGATCGTTAAAGGTAAGACAAAAGAGTACCAATGTGAAGAAATTATTAAAAAAATCGTTTGGTGATAAGTGATTAGGACTAACCTGTGCGGGAAGCTGTTGTGTCTGGTACGTCAGGATGACGGTCTGTTTGGTGTGTGTCTTGGGCACTCCGCCTGCACCTACGATGGTCGTCACTCCGGTAGAAGACACCTGCGTCGCCTGCAACGGCAGCTGATTGTACCCTGGAGTCTTTTTATCTGAAATATTTAATTCATACATATTAGGGTTTATATTTGTGGCTTACTTAGCCAGCTTGCTTAGCTGGAGGGTTATTTTTGTTGATGAAACTACGAAAGGTTACTAGGTCAAAAATATTTTGTTTCGCCATGAACGAATTAAAATGAATCGCAAAATGTATTTGTAGGCGCATAACTCAACAACGCCCGGACCGATTTTTTGTTGTTATTATTGTCAGGAGAAGGCCCTTATCAAAGAACATTTTAGAAAGTAGAAGTTGGGAATTAGGAACCCTTTCGTTGTTAGCGAGATAGTTGGAGACCCGTGGAAATAGGAAAGGAAATATCGTCATCAAAGTTTGGTGTGTGGACTTCAGTAGTATTCAGGAGAGTTTCGTACAAATCTAAGCTATCAGTTGGGGTTTATTTGTTTGTATCTCTTTCTTATTGATTCTATTTTAGTAGAAGTGTCTAACTTTATAATACGAATAAACACCCAAATTCATTTTCGCTATTAGAGTGCTTACACGGGATGGGTTCTTAACTAAAATCACAAGTACAAAATCAAGTAATTATACTAACTTTTAAACTTTTGCGTTTCATATAAACAACATAAATTACGCGGGTATTAACGCGAAAATAATTATCTAAATACCTTGGTAGGCTTGACGTTTCGACCTGGTTGCACAGGTCGTGGTCACAAGCAGACTGATATCGCATCTTCAGTCTGCTTGTGACGTATGAGTAGATCAATAGATAAAAATCGGTTAATTAGTTTCCTTGACTTTGGACTTGAACGTTTGTATGTAGCAGTAAACCCCATAAATGCTTGTACATTAATAAAGATTACTGTAGGCACTCTCTTAGCCAAACTGGTTAAAGTAGAAACATCAAACTTCATTCGAAACTTTCGGTTACATTATACGGAATACCGTCAAATCGTTCGTTAACATAATCGGCTTAAATAAACGACACTTGTCGTGTAAAACTCCGAGATCGATAAGTCTTTGATCAGGTTTCTTTAAGCCGCTATCAACTGGATGTAGGTACCTATGGTAAAAATGTAAAGTTAACAGTCAACCAAGTAATGGTATTTGGTTTGCAGGTGATGTAATAAAGTCTGGTTGATTCAGGATAGGGACAGTATTGAATATTACTATACTATTTGGGGAGAGCCAAATAGTATAGTAATATTATACTTTACTTAGAAGTTATCTAACTTATTTTGTCCTCGGTAAGTAGATATGCAAATGTATGGCGTAACTGTTCACTTATAATTCTAATCACGCAAGCTCACCTAATGCATTGTTATTTATGGCTGTCTCCTTGTCCTTTTGTGGGGCTCCGAAGGCCTGCTCCGCAGCCACGCTCACGTCCCCGACCTTCGCAGTTTTGGCGTGTTGTTGCCTGAAACCGAACCTAACAAATGAGACAATGATAAGACAGTCATCAGTAGAAAATTCTACTTTTTTCATCAGCAATATAAGCTATATTATATAATTATGTAGGTACTATATTTACATGAAAACATTATCATATATCGCATTGGCTTTCGATAAATATGGCAGAATAGGCCGCCATGTTTTGTCAGTTCCGATTTATATTGTAAAAGCCAGACAGACACATAAAGCTACCAAGTAATGAAAGCGCCTACGCAAAATGTTGAAGCAATAAATTGCTTGTCATACACATCAGGCGCTCGAACGAGTAATTCATAAATTATGTGCTTGAAGTCTAGAGTTCACACAGAGAATTAGAATCACAATTAAACATTAGTGGGACTACTTTCTAGTTTATGAATAAGTAATTCACGATTTTATTATGTAATTTCCCTATCGCGTTGGCTTTCGATAAGATGGTTATGTAAAAGTGTGAGGTGTGATCTGGTTTGTTACCTTGTGGAACGTAATGGTTGGCCGGGGGTCTCCTTGCGTGGTCTCGCGAGCGGTGTCGACCGGCCTGACAAGACCTCCTCCGGACGCAAATCCTCCGTGGAACCTGTCGTGAAATGTTGATCTTTAAATATGGACAGATAGACGTGCAGACAACTTGTACTTGTAGACGCGAACAAGAATAAAATGCTTTCGTTTTCTTGTGATCCATGTTATGAATAATAGTGTGATTGTAATATTTGAATGGATCTCATGTGAGTACAATGAATACGTTGCCATTGTTCAATAAGTATGTGAATGTCATATGAAAACTATTTTGGAAATACGTAGGTTCGATTATATATTGTATTCGTATTGAATTAAGGTTGAATGGTGATGATGTAAAAGTCTAAATCTTTGTTATAACAATATCGGTCTTGATATGCGACCTTCTTTTGTTATACAATTCAGTGGCAATGTGATAAGTGATTATTATACCTTAAATACTGTATTTTTCAACTAGTCAAATTCAATACTTTTATCCAAATGTCAAAAACGATACTTTTCTATTTTTTTTTTTTTTTGTTGTTGTTGGCAACTGAGTCTCCAAGATACTTTTCTATGAAATTTGTACGAAAAACTGAGGTATGACGTCATAACAGTTTTGCGTCAAATAGCTTACTTATTTCTGAATAATGAGCTAAAAAAATCTAAAACTTAGTGTATCGATCGATCGATGAATAAAAGTATAGTTATTTTTCAATATTTTATTGTATTAAAACGTCGAATTAATTTATTTTTAACCTAGAACACTACCCAATTCTCATTGAATTGTCTAGCGCTTTAGGACTACTTATTGTTGAACATACTATATATCTATAGACGATGATGATGATCATAAACAGGTCTAAAGGTAACTTTTGTTGTTTACAAAAGCAAGTTCTACATTGCGGTTAGTCTGTCTTGGTTGGCGAGAGGTTAAGATACCCGCTTTTCACGCATAAAGGTTTGAAACCTGGAATGTACCAATGTTCCTTTTTCCTGTATATGTACTTTCTATGATTTCTTAGACACCAATGGCATACGGTGAAGTAGACTGACAAGTCCAGAATCTATCGTGAGGAAACCTGAACTTATAATTTCTAATTATAAGTTTGAAATCACCTAGATCAAGCTTGGTGGTTAGTGCTCAAACATTCTCCGTGTGAGAAGCGGCCTTTGCTCAGCAGTGACCACTTTAGGTAGGCTAATGATGTGATGTGAGGTTCTACATTAAAAAGGTTTTATAGTAAATACCGACCTCCATTCCCGTTCTTGTCGTGCGCCTTCTGTTTCCTGCGCGTGTTGTCGTCAGCACGCGAGGTGCTAGCCGGCCGGCGACGGAACCCGAACGAGGTGGCCACTCCTCGGCTCGGTTTCCCGTTGCCGTTCCCTCCTGCACTCTTCTCTCGTTTCTTTGCACCCTTCGACTCAGAGTGACCCTGTAGAAGATAAAAGAAATATTCACTTTTTGCTGCTAAAACTACCCTAAAATGTAACCTTTATCGATCCATTATTTCTTTCTTTAAGGTTACATATCTTGTAGATGTTTACTATACATATAGGTAATATGAAAGGTTTAGTCTAATAGCCGAACAAAAATACGTTAATTAGAGAACCGGGAGCCATTGACCCTGTCAGATTTATAATCCCTATGACCATAAGCATCCTTATATTGAGTACTGAAGGAATGGAGTCCTCATTTATTTACTAAATATTAATTAGAACAATAAACTTAAGTAGGTAAGACTTTTTGGAAACTTTTTGGAAAGGAAGTACCTATCGAATAAAATTACCAATTGAATTCCCGAAATGACATTACAAAATATTCAAAGAAACAAATAAAAACTTTTCGTGCGAATCGCGTGTGAAATTACGACTTATAACATAGGTACTTATTTTATTTATTATTAAAAATTCACGGTTTGTTTGCTACGGTTTAAGCGATGAAGACAGATATTTAAAGATTAGTTATCAATTTAAATAAAATACTTAATAATAATAAAGTATTTGGAATTAATTCTTGTAGAGGTAAAGGAATGCCATAATTACTGCCAAGGTTTTGAGGTAAATTTTTGGAGATTAAAAAAACCAAAAGCAGCTTGTTTTTAAAACAACAAATAATTACGTATTATATCAACTTTTATCAGAAACTCCAAACTATAAAAAATATGGAAATAGTACAAAAGTTTGTATTACGTCAACGCAACTGAAACGTTATCTCGTTTAGCATTCTGATTGGTTGGTTAACTTAGTTTAGGCCAATCAGAGTGCCAAACGTCATAAACGTATCGGTCCCGCTAACGTAAAGCAAAACTCGCACTAGGCACTCTGAAAACCAGGGGACTTGACCATGCGTTGTAATTTTTTTGTAGGTGATAATACACAACGGATATTTTCAATTCCTTTGAGTCCTAAAAAAGTGGCAACATTCTAGTTCATGTACAAATGTCACGAAACTCGAAGGATAATGTTATGCCCTTGACCTTTTAAATAAAGATTTTGTAATACTGTAGTTTCCATAGTACTTGTAACACTTTATACGTTTTTGTGGGTTAGTAGGTGGAGAAATAAATGTGCTACAATGTAATGGTGGTACAGGGCCAATGTTATGTTGGACGTTGCGGGAATAAGCGCATAAATGTACCGCGGCCTCGGAAAAGAAGGCATGGGATGGATTTTAGTCAGTACAAGCGACCCACTCTAGTATCAGCACCCGTGCAAAGCCGACGGGTGCTGATACTAGAGTTCTTCAAGTTCAAAGTTCAATCACTTTATCTACTTATTAAAAAAAAAAAAACTAAAATCTGTTGCGTACCTTTTCTTTAAAACTTAAAAGTTACGTAGGAATGTAGGGACAGACACTCTGTCCAACATTCACTCTCGGACGAAATTTATGACAAATTTCCCATCAAACCAAATGAAATAATCCAGAAAAATTAACTATCTCTGGCATGTGTTCTAAGCAAGATATCCTCACCGACCTGATTAAGATAAAAAAAATTGCAAAATTATTCACAGTTTTCTTCCATCCAGAAATCGTTGTTTTGGGCATAAATGACATATTATGTGAGTGAATATGTACATTTGTAAAGGAAATTTTTTCCTTTATGGCTACGACCTAGAAGTAAACTAAACTTATATAGCTGCATATGTATAAAAAAAAAGAAGACACATAAATGTTTCCAAAAACGTTAGCTGTATACATACATACATATGATATTATAGTGTTTAGGCCCTGTTGCGTGTTAAGTGTACCTAGAGTACGTTACACGCGAACTAAGTATGTAAGTTGACACTCGACGTAAATACTACGGTTGAACTTGTAGCCAAAGGTTAATTAGTAATTACGTAAGATACAAAGCTGTTTACTATTTATATAATGCTCGCTTTCCACTTAAGGATATTATAGGAATAACTGGGAATAAGCTGGTTTCATATTTCCATATCTATACGTATTTTATTAAATTCAAGGTACTTATAACTCGGCAAAAGAGCAGACGGATTACCTGATGGTAAGCAGTCGGCACCGCCAACACCAAAGGAGTTACGAGGGCGTTGACGGCCTTTTGGGGGTAGGGGTTGCAGATATACGGATCGGGAAGGGACATGGGGGGGGGGGTATGGGCCTCCGGTAATCTCACTCACATGGCGAAATACAACGCTGTGGGTTGTTTCACGTAGGTATTCTGTGAGGCCGTGGTATTACTCCGGTCGAGCCGACCCATTCGTGCCGAAGCATGGCTCTCCTACACACGTACATTAACATCACATCATCAGCCTATAAGTGCACACTGCTGAGCAAAAGCCTCTTCTCACACGGAGAAGGTTTAAGCATTAATCACCACGCTTGCTCAAGGCGGATTGGCGAATTCAAAATATCCTCACGATGTTACCTTCACCGTAGATCTGTGATATTTAAATGAGCTTAGAATGTAGGTTAAAAGTATTTGATAGACGAAAAAGCACACGATGTTAACGTTGTTTCACGTCGGTTTTCTGTGAGACCGTAACATCACGCGGCTTGGTCGAGGCGACACATTTGTGTCGAGGCTCCCTCACATTAAATATGTTAATGAACTGAACGAATGAATGCAGTTATGTTAATTTACCAGTAAAATTACAAGGCTAACGTAAAACTGACTCTATTTACTCACAAGCATAAATTAGTTTCTCGTTACTTTCAATACTTACAAGTAAGAGTTGACCTTTCGTTTTATGTTCTAGAAAATTGTATAAAGCTATGAAGCGGTTTCCCGCCGAGACAAAGAAAGGCTTTAAGTACAGGAGTTAGAATAGTTACCTGTGCAATACTAAGGCATCACTTTCAATAATATAAATACATTTTTATTGTCGAAAGTTAAGGTTCTGAAAGGAAATTTAAAATATGGGTCTAATGTTTGAAATTGTGTTTGGTCATCATCTCTGTTTAAAGATTTAATAGTACCTAACTCGTCAACAACCAACCTCCCTCCTGTTGTGTACCGAAGTCCGTTTCGGAGCAAATGAAGGAACAGGGTGATTTTTACTCAGTAAGAGGCTCACACATACATACATATCTCGGACGTTTTTACCACTTCAAACAAAAGCGTTTTAAAAAATTTAGATACATTCATTCAAATATCAACCTATTCACCATCTGTTATTACCTACCGTTTATTTATTTGTAAAATTTAAATTCATGTAACATAACATTAACATTACAAACTTACTTAATAAATGTAGGTATTGATTTATTTATACGAATGCTATAGACTTCAAATACCTATTATGCTTTTTACGTCGTTGGTGTTATAAGTTGTGAATGTATATTTTCTATTTTATTATGAAAATTTATTTCAGTCGTGTGGCCTACAAGCATGATGTATTTAATGATTGCTTAAATTATTCCTTTTTTAGGGGGAATAATCATAGAATGGCTTCTCTGACCCTGTTTGGGCGGGAGTGTCAGACTCATAGGATTGGACCTGCGGTAACCCCCCTCACACGGCGAAACACAACGCTGTGGTTGTTTCACGCCGGTTTTCTGTGAGGTCGTGGTACGACTTTAATGAGAAGCACGGCTGTCCCATACTTAATCCTAGACTAGACAGGATAAAAATGTATTATAATATTTATCAGAGAACGCCGCAGAGGTAGCTGTTAAATGACGTAGGTATTGTCTTAGAAAACACCCAAAGGAAGAGCAAGGAAGGTCATATCTATATTCTATTTTCATCTACTAGTAGTTAATCTTCTTCAGTGTATATACTAATGGCTAGAGTAAACATAAAACAATGGTTTCTAATGCGCATATACCTACTTACCTATATGCAATGCATGACGTCATCTGGACATGTCCGGATCCTTGTTTCCGTTTTAAGTCCGAAAGTTTAGGTGTTAGCTTGTTAGTTAGTTACAAAGGTTAAGTTTGTATTGTGTCTAAGTGCAAATACTGGTTAGTTAATATATGTATAACTTTGTTCTTGAACCGCTAGGTTTTTTAGTGTTTTATGGGTAGATAATTTAGTTGCTTTCTTTGAAAGTGTGTGTGCAAAAACTTACCTACCCACATCAAAATAATAAGAAGTGTGAGTACCTAATTCAGATTCTAATAACTTTTTTTTTTGTCAGGGGGAAATCGTCCTCCAAATGACCTCTCCCGCCCAGGGAAGGCGAGAGAGAGTGTCAGACTCTTACTGACTAACCCGGGGACGGTTGGTCAGTAAGAGTCTTCTCCTGCTCTGGGCCGAGGCCGCGGTGTTGTAATACCTAAGTATTCAATTAAGTAGTTTCTTCCAGATAAACCTTTTAAAAAAATACCTGTTAGAAATTAATTAGTCATAATTAACGTATTAAACGGTATACACTTCGGTTCCTTTGCCATTTTTTTTTGTCATAAACTACCATTTAGTGTAGATAAATCGCTAATTTTCTAGCAGTTTTTTATCGTTAAGTAAAGTGTTCGTCACGTTTTTTTTTATTCCGTTATATTGACGTAAAGTTGTAGCTTGGCTTTAAGTATTGGAATTTGTAAGATTGAAAATAAATAAAGAAATAACGGGACCGAAATTCAGGTTTTTAACAGTTAGGTAATAATAGCCATTGAAATAACTTAGTTTTGACGTTATTTCATATTAAAATCAAGCAGTAAATTATACTTTTAGCAGCTGTAAATAACTTTGAAAGTTTCCATATCAAAATATTCATAAAAATATGCATACAGACCCAACCCAAAATTGCAACCATATTGACTCATCAGTCGGTCGTTGCTCTACTCCAAAATCGATTCTATTCCCTCGAGTATCGATCGAAACAGGTTTCGTAACTCGAGTAGTTTCATCATGACATAATGTACCAATGGGGAACATAATGATACCATTATGGAGGTTCTCATGTGTTACCAATAGGCCACGACAGGCCACGCCGTGAGTGATTCAATGTTAAGTTCTTGTAGTATGTATCCCACAGATCTTCAAACTAGGTACACCAGAATAAACAAAAACATTGAGAAAATATTTTTGTTAAAAGATTTACAATGAAGATTATAATTACAAAGAAGATTGTGTAATGTTTATGGTTATGGTTAGGGAACAATGTTTTTTGTTGTAGTAGGATGAATTGTTTAAGACTTTATGATGTCCATACTAAATTCGAAAGAGTCTAGGAGAAGGAAAGCAGAAACCAGGAGTTGTGACAGTTACCAGCAGTGAAAAGCAATAAGTCCGCACAAGACAAACATTTCTTTGATTAAGTACTTTATGTGAATACTTATTCGTCTCCTACGAGAAGAGCTAAGTTCTCTATTAAATACAATGGTAAGGTAACCTGCAGTAAAATGCAATTAGAATGAATGCAAACAATTTCTGTTTTCGTAAAATTATAAAATCGTTGCTCCATACTAGGATTTTATCCTGAGTCGAGGGTGCGTTTAGGTATAAGTATAAAAGTTCACATACACATCTTACCAAGGCCCGAAACATTAATTTAACAACTGTGCAGTAAAATCAATGTTATATTACTTTAGCAGATTTTGTCAAACTGTTTTAATTTATCTAAGAAGATTGACGGTTTGTTATATTTAAACAACTCGACAAATTACCATGAAACAAACTAAACAGATTTTTAACGGACAAGAATATTTTAGAACCAAACTCAAGTTCTTTATTTGTATGTTAAGGTGAAGTGCATGAGGGTCTTAAATGAAAATAACAGGCACAGCTCAACGGTTTTCTTCAGGCGTTGTAAATTTAAGGGCTATCACTAACTTATAAAATACAATTAAAACAAATTTAAAAAATTAAGCATTTAAAATAAATTTAAATTAAAATTAAAATAAATTAAATTACATTAAGGTTCTTAACATTTAACACTTAACACGGGAGAGCCATGCCATGTGTAGGAGAGCCAAGCTCCAGCACGAATGGGTCGGCTTTACCGGAGTGATACCACGGCCTCACAGAAAACCGGCGTGAAACAACCACATTGTTGTGTGTGTAAGGTTACCGGAGACCCAATACTTCTCCTCGACTTTCAATCCCTCCAAAATCCCAAAATCTCCAAACCCCTACTCCCCAAAAGGCCGACGATGCACTTGTAACTCCTCCGTTACGGGTGTCCATGGGCGGCGCTGATTGCTTACCATCAGGTAAGTCAAGCTCGTTTGCCGCCCTGTCACATAAAATAAAACATTTATTTATATAACAACAGATATTCTTGGCTATTCTTTATTATTATAAAAAAAGATAAAGTCTAAAGCAAAAATTGCGAAAAAAAATAACATAAAAACGTGTGTCTGCTCTCGTAATTGGATGTCGGTTAACATTTACGTTCGTTATAAGTTTGCTGTGAGAACATTGATGTGCATCATTAATTCTGACCGCAATCGACTCCATTACTTTTCTTGTGCTTATAACATAAATAACACATAGATGACTCTTTTTTTTAATATTCATTAAGGCACACTAACGATGGCGAATTTATTACGATATAAATCACCCTGTGTGATAAGCCTGCTCTTTGTGTTAAATTTTTACAATTCAGAACACAATAAAGAATATATAAAACAAATACATACAAATCAGGCAAGATGTTAAGCTTCAAACTAAAAAAAAGTCTTTCAAAATTGTAGGTATGTACAAAATAACCTAAGCTATTTCCCAATACACAATAACGTTTCCCAACCGAATACAATGAATACATTGATACTATAATATGCAGATAGTATCGATCAATTTCGAAACTTAAAAACTTTCCCACCCTTAGTAGGTAACTGGACAAACAGAATCAATGGGAACAAGTCCTCGCAATAACATTATGTGAGTTCCATTGAATTCTGGTACAATAGCTGCCGTATCTCACGGAATGGCCGATGCAAGAGACGTTTTAAACTTTTAGATTCACTATAGTTTGATATATAGTCCAACTTTACATAGTTAAACTTAGTCTCAATTCGCTGCCGAATAAATATATAGCCAACATACCGTGTAGTTGATAGGATAGAGAAGCTTGTGATATGTGTAGGCATTAATAATATATGATTACCAATTCCTCGTACTCTGATCTTGCTTGGAATCACCTGCAAGCCAATTTAAGTGTTGGTTTGTTTGCAGATGGATAAAAGAAAATTTTATTGGAGTACATAAGTGACTGCGAGAGGAACTGATAAATATTGTTATGTTTTCTTGTTTTTAGTTGTTAATGTAACTGGGTCTAATCCCGATTAATAAATACGTAAGGTATTTAGTGCATAAAAAAGTACGTAGCTAACGTAATGGCTTTGTAATGAGAGTGTTTTTTTTTTGTAAATATTATTTACCAAATTGCTTCTGACATGGGGAGGCGAGAGGGAATGTTAAATATAATAAAGTTTTACTGACATAAAACCACCCCGATCCTTCTTCAGCTCCAGCGCCAGGCTATACTTAGAACATTATTGCGCTTGACCCGCAAGGCTGGATTGCAATAGGAATGTTATTTTAGCCGAAGAAAATTAAACTTATTCAAACCTGGGTACAATAAACTTGTAGTCCCAACCAGTACCAACAATAAAGAAACAAAATTAAATGTGAAAAACACTGGCCTAATAGTAGAAAGGGAAATGGGAAGTTGCAACGTCACGCTACATGTTACAATTCGTGTTGCACGTGTTTACTGGGTCGCGTGTTTTTATGCTGTATGCTAACCTACAAGCCAATGTCAAGGTTACAGTAAAATAGTTTATTCCAATAACATTACATATATTTTTTATTAAATTAATTATTTTTTTAGTATATTCTAAATTCATTTTAGATATTATTTTGGCCAATTGATATCGACCTAGGGCCTGCGACTTTGACGACCTGAACCTCTTTTTCGAATTTTGCTACCTACTTCATTTTGCTTCTTATCGCTTTGAAGATAACTGCTGGAGAGCAGTAAGATTTTTAGTGGAGACATGTTTTGATGGCATTGTGTATTGTCGTATTAGAGAAGTTAAAAAAAATAGGTAGTTTAAGTTTGAAATCGCCGATTCGCGTGGTGATTAATGCTCTAACCAACTTCGTGTGAGAAGAGACCTTTGCTCAGCAGTGGGCACTTATGGGCTGATGACAATGGTGATGATGATGTGTTGTCAGCCTTGTGGCGTTGTTTCACGCCTTTTGTTGTTTTCTTTTAGGCCATGGTACTCTAGTCAAGCTGGCTCATTCATGCCATAGCTCCCACACTTAATCATTATGAGTTTTATGACAAGTTGTTCTATTTATCTTATAGTGAAACCATATCTCGAATATCAGGTAGATTGCAGATTGCAGTCATTACTTCATTTGTGTACGTTCACACAATGACGCTTATTACAATATAATATCTATACTAATGTTATAAAGTTTGTATGTAGGGGGTAATCTTTGGAAGCGCTGGTCGGATTGTCAAAATTCTTTCACTGATAGATAGCTACAATGTTCCTGAGTGCTATGGGCTATAAAACATCACGCTACGATCAAATGGAGCCGAGCAGCGGGTAGAACCGCGCGAGATTAGCTAGTAATTTATATAGCCTTACAAACTTTTTAGGTCATGAGATTCAGATCAATTCAATTTGTGAGCCCTTTAGCAAAAAATTGAACGGTGAAACGAAGCGAAAGTTTCATCTACTTTTTTAACAATAGATGTGCTTAGTTTGAATTGCCTATTGTAGTAACTTGTTATGGTAATGGCAGATATAAATTCTGTCTTGTTGGTCACATGTTAATATTATTATAGCGTGGAACGAGGTACGCCATAGTCGAAATGTTGATACACTGTCCATTCGGAATTGTACAGTCAGATACGTCAAGAAATCGCAGAAGCCTTGTTACGGGGGATTAAATACAAATAAAACATATAAAATTAAAATACGTTTTTAACGTTTTTTTACATCTAACTGATGACCTAAGTAAATTTTTAAATACCATTCCTTGTTGTCATTTCCTTAAAAAACATCAGAATTATAGATTAATTTTTATTAAGTATAACTTTTCGCCGAGTCACGTGTCGCGGATTGGGCCTCTAGCATGGCTCGAACCTAGTCGAGTATCTCGTCAAATTATTACGGGAGTAAGCCGAAAACATAATAATTAATATAGATTAATTGATTAAAATATGGACAACTTCCAAAAGAACGTATGTATGTACCAATGATGTCTATTCATCCACGATTTTTCAAGGTAAGTACATAAAAATATTATCAACAATTTACAAATAGTTATTACAAAACAACACTCGTTATGCTAGGTACTATGCAATCTAAAGATGGCGTTGGCACGGATCCCAGGCCACAGCAACAATTTTAATTAAATTGTTTATGATAGGGTTGTTGCTTGTTACACGGACGTCTGCGATCCCGCGCTGACCGCAAAACCCGCCGCAACCTGCGCACACGCATCCCTATACCGTTATGAACGTCTGACCGCAGATACGTTATCATATTTTCTTTAACAAACTGCTTGGTCCTGTACAGACAGACTGTAATTTAGTGCAAGTTATTCTGTTGGTTTTAGTCAAATATAACTACTGTGAGTTCTAGATACTAGTTTTTTTTTTAATTGCTCTAGTCTAGAACTTTTGCCTGTGTCGTGGATACGTTTACAAACATACGATTTCACATACACAACCATTTTCACATCACATCAGGATCACACAAAGATTTGTTTCGTGAGGGAATCGAACCCGTGACACGTTGTGCGGCAGCGAGTTGCCCAGCTACTGCGCCTACCGTGCTGTCAAATACTTATAAGTACTTGATTAAAATTTAGAGGATATATACTTAGTTTTATAATCAGGCGTTACTTCACTGAAATTCGTAACTAAAACCTACTATAGAACAAAACAGTAATTCTTAATTCTATTATTTTTGTAAATCAAATACAACTACAGACTCTATATAATTTCCGTGCAGTGCACCGTGCAGTAACACGGTTGGCACGGTGGCTGGGCAACTGGCTGCCAAGCAACGTGTCGCGGGTTAATTCCCGCATGGAACAACTCTTTGTGTGATCCACAAATTGTTGTTTCGGGTCTGGCTGTTATGTGTTTGTCAAATTGATTGTTTGTAAACCCACTCACGACACAGGATAAAATCCTAGTTTGGGGCAACGTAAAAAAAAGAAGAAAAAAAAACTATGATAGAATTCAAACAAGGCATTTCTAAAATACCAATTAAACACTCGGCCAAAAGCCCTAAAAACAATCCTAAAATTTAAAACTAACCCAAAATCCCATAAATTTCGAACGCCTCATTAAACACAGTTCACACCCTTCCAAAGCCGTAAAAAACAGCTGACTTTGAAAAAGGAAAGTGCTAGTGATGCGAAGTGTTCACTCGATAGCCTCACAATGTCATCGAGAGAGCTATTGATAGTCTAGGCGATCGATAGACTTACATCCCTACAGTATACGAGACAGCTGAACACACAATTCAATGAAATTCGTTCGTTATATGTATCTACAATACAATATCTCTAATATATGTTTATGGTGGTACTCTTGCCACAATAAGTGGGGAAACGGTACCTACTTGTTTTCGTATAATTGGGGCTTCGTTATTTTATATTTTGAGTTGTTTCGTTTTACGGCCATGAAATTACTATAGTGTTTAACTTTTTCAGTCGGGAAATTATCAACGTTAAAAGTGCCTTCCTATTAAATGAGTGTTTATAACTTAGAAACTAATTTAACGTAAAAGCTTAAGAAACGCAATAAGACGTTTATAGGGAATTGCAAAAAGGTTTTTATTACAGAATATGGTGACGGATACAGATACAAAAGAGTAGACGGATCAGCTGATGGTAAGCTATCAAAGCCATCAAAAACACCCTAAGATATCCGCAGCACCAGTGGAGTTGCATGTTTGTTACCGATAACCTTGCAAGTTAGTTTTTTTTTGTAACTAGGAGATTGAGCTTCCGGTAATCTCATTCATACGTTTTTTCTTCGTGCTGAAGCATGGCTCTACTACACTTAAAATGTAGGCAGTCGAATAAAATAAATGTAGGAAGCCAAATTCTAAATCGAATGTCATAAAACATTAGTATTAAACTTATTTAGAAAGTGCCACCCTCCCTGGCCGGGTGCGTGTCAAAATATTATAAATGAATTCATGCAATGCGACTTGAAGACAGCCAAGTTTGTACCGTGCACTTGGCAATTTTCCACACGGCCAAGACCTTTTGAACTTTGCAAGTAAATTATATAACTTGACTTTAATCTTCATTTACATTCCCCACCCCATTTTAATTACTTAACTAGCTTTAACTACGTTTCGTTTTTAGCGTGGAGTTTTATAGCCTAAAGTTTTCCTTGATAACTAAACTATCCATACAAACCATCCATAAAGACACAAAAAAACAGACACACAAAGTTGAACTTTTTCATATTTATTTAGTTTGACGTTCAAAAGTGCCTTTAGTTATGTGCCTATTCGAAATAAATGTTTTGACTGTTTTACTTTGACACCTCTGCCCATAAGTAGTGTAAGTTATTATAATAATGGACACTTAATTAAAGACAATCGACCAGTTAACACGTGTCTTATTTGCTCTTACATTGCAATCCGAAAACTAACGAGTTTTAAAAATACTGATGTTTGCATTAAAAAATAATAAGACCTAAGTATACATTCAACAATAATAAATGTACATAATAGAAAAAAATATAACAACAAATAATGCTATGTACCTAATAGTAATTGTAAATGTAATTAGCAGTATTAGATTAAATATGGATTCGTAATTTGCATGAAATATTGAGTAAATAAATTAACATAGGACATAATTATAAAGGTCACTACAAATTTAAAAAAGTTAGTAAATAAGAGTCGGTTAGTCAAAATTATGAAAACATTAATAATTAATTTTCTACTAAAATAGTTGAGGGTTAGAAAGATTGATTTAATACTGATGATGGTGAAAAGTTGTACGATAAGTATTATTATTTAATTATCTATACTAATATTACAAAGAGGTATAATTTTTAAGTTTGTATGTAGGGCATTTCGAAAATTCTTTCACTATATAGCTACAATGTTCCTGAGTGCTATAAAACATCCCCCTACGACCAATAAGAGCCGAGCAGCGGGTGAAACCGCGTGACAGAAGCATTTAAAAAATAAACTAAAGGAGATACTAAAATAAAAGACGGTGCAATGTTTTATACAATGACGAAAGGAGGTATATTGCCGACCACAGATAACATAAAACGAAAAACACCACAGAATATACAGTTGATATTGGCAGACAAAATAAGTGACAGGACACACTTTTTTTTAAATGACAAAAAATTAAAGCATTCTTTCGTCAACATAACTGTAGACATTTGCTTTATCGACTTGTAAACAGACAGATACTTCCTACAAACCTAGAACCTCTAATAACATTGATACAACAAGCCCTTCATACAGTCCTGGTTCCTCATCAATCCGTACCAGATAACGGCTCTTTACATTCTTAGCTGTAATAAATTGATGGTGTTTAGCGGACGCCCCGTTCCTTCGAGATTGTGGCTTGCAACGATAATGTGTGCACATTATAGTGCTTCACTAGTGATGCTGCCCTGGTACTTTAGACACGCCGCCTCTTAGAATTACTACAGCATAGGGCTTATGGTAATTATAATGGATGCTATTAGAATGTGTTGTGCATAATTTATACTTAAAGGGTACTTTACTATATTTTGTTAAAGTTGTATACAAATCAGTAATTATTTAATTAACAGAAATCCAAACTAATATTATAAATGCGAAAGTAACTCTGTCTGTTTGTCATTTTTTAACGCCTAAACTACTGAACCGATTTCTGTGAAATTTGGTACAGTTTGGAACTTGAGAAAGGACATAGGATAGTTTTTATACCAAAAGTTTGCCGGAAGTCACTACTCCCCGCGAACGGAGTCGCGGGCAAAAGTTAGTGTGGTCATAAAATTGTCACTTAGAATAAGTGTAAGGAAATCATGCTTCAGGACGAATGGTCAAACTCGACGAGAATTTTACCACGGCCTTGCAGAAAATCAAATTGTCCTTTTTACTTCTCCCTTTCCCAAATACTCAAACCCCTTGTTATCAAATGCCGGCAGGGCACTTATCACTTCTCGATATTACAGGTGTGCATGAGCGGCTTCGATTGCTTACCATCAGGTGTTCCGTCTGCTCATATGCTGACCTACCCTATAAATGTAACAAGTAAAAAAAAACACTTAGGGCTGATTTTTCAATGGTTAGATGAAAGTCATCTGGGGAATAATTATGATGCTGTCGCGTCAGAATGTTTGTATAAGACAGTGACAGCGACAATTTTATTTCTGAGATAACATTTATTACACTATTGAAAAATCAGCACTTAATAAAATAAATACACACTAACGTTCCATTTAAGTTTCATAATTATGACCTCTTTCTTACATTTAATTATAATTATTATGTAAAACAATGTTATATTGTATCAGATTAACTGTTAATAAAAACATAAATACTAATTAATTAGGGATTTCTAATATAAAAACAAGTAATTATAGTACTATGAACATTATTTATTTTGTAATTGGAGCAGGTGGTTGGGTAGAAAAATGGGGAATAGTAAAGAAGAATCTTACTTTGTGTCGAAAGTTAGGGAGTTTGAGAAATGGATGGGTTTCCAGACGAAGATAAAATGGACTGTCTCTTTCATAGTGTTAGCGTACCATGTATTAGCTGTCTACTGGTGCTACCATTACTCATGGCCAGCAAAATGGCAAACTGTTTTGTTTGGTGAGTATTATTTTGTACTTATATTTATAATTATGATTTATAATAAATTACTTCAAAATTGTTGTGGTAAAATTCAATAGGTTACACCAAGAAATTAATTGAAAAAACTGCATAATATAACATTAATCAGTAATTCTTTAAATAGGAAAACTATATATATACATAAGACAAAATACATTGACAAAATAGAATACCTACTTATAGAAAATGTTCGTTTTACAGCTTACATGACATTTGTGTTCAGTGGTTTCGGGATAACAGGCGGAGCGCACAGATATTGGGCTCACAAGGCATTTAAAGCTTCCACACCACTGCGTATCATCATGATGGCTGGCTTCGCAACCGCTGGACAGGTAACAAACTAAACTAAACTAAAAAAAAGTTCAAAATAAAGTTCTGCCATCGACTTCATCCGTAGTACCCGAGCGAAGAGATCCTGATCCAATCAGTAGTTGTTACGTGACAGAACAACAAACAAATCCATAATAAGAAACTTTCGCATTTATAATAGCAGTAAGATAAGGATCATGTTGTCCGTCCATCATTAATAAGTCTAAGATTGTAAAACAACACATTTGTTGTCATTAACATTAGACTTGGTTCCATTAATATAGGGGAGGGGGTATTTTAGAGTATATTAGAACAGAATATTAGACAAAAAACAATAGGATTAGTAACCCTAAAATAATCGTTACACAATAATGAAGTTTAAAAAACAATGTAGGCAATCAATGAGCCCAAAATTATTTATAGGCAAACGCAAATACATTTGAGGTACCGATAAACCGATATTGCCAACAGAAAGCATGGTTTAAAGCAATACTAAAATAAGCCACCAGAATATAAAATACCTTAAAGCTTTCGTATTAAGCGCAGATGGTGGTTTCAAAATAATAGTAGCGCGTCGTAAAATAACAGAGTCTAGACTCTTTAGGCTATACCGGGAGCAAAACTTAGTATCTACATAAAACTTAATAGCGTACTTGGGTTCTTATTTTACAGGTACTAGGAGCTTAAATTGCAGAGAGTCTTTAAGACTGACTTTATTCAGTGCACGGTCGATGCGGGGGCTGGGCAACTAGTTTTTGGGCAATGTGTCGCGGGTTCGATTCCCACACGGAAACAAAGAATCCACAAATCGTTGTTTCGGGTCTGGGCATGATGTGTATATTGAATTGTATGTTTGTAAAAAACGCATCCACGACACAAGAGAAAATGCTAGTGCGGGGAACGTTATTTTAAAAAAGAAAAAGAAACACAGAGAACTATAGAATTTTATCATTAAATCAATGTCTTCTAAACATTACTGATCTCGGTAGTCAATCTTAATTAGATTAGAAGCAGAAGAAAGATAAAGAAAGGCAAGGATGCGCACATCAAAAATGTGAACAGACACAGCATCGACAGTCTTTCACAACCAGCAGTCCTTAAATGGCATAAGGTTCACTTACTACATCACGATACTCTTAACACAACTAATAAATACTTAGTCCAAAGGTCCCATTCGAAACATTTTAGCCAAACAAAATCTTTTGCTAATCAGAAGTTTTTTTGTTCATAGAACACCTTACGTCAATGGATCCGTAACCACAGGGTCCACCATAAATACAGTGACACCGACTCAGATCCCCACAATCGTGAACGTGGGCTGTTCTTCTCTCACATCGGCTGGCTCCTCATGCATAAGAAACCTGAAGTCATCAGCAAATTCAATGAGATTGATATGTCTGACATCGACAACGATCCCATTGTCAAATGGCATACCAAGTAAGTTTTATAGCACCGCACATGTGTTGTTACCGACACAGTTAATATATTTTTGCAGACAATTACGTTTTGTTAAATTTCAATAAAAGTAAATTGTTTCCTCCGAAATAATGAGTGTTGTGCTTAACTGTCGTTAAAATTCCGATTCTATTCGAATCAATATTATAACAATAATCGTCAGTCTTGTATAAAAAAAAAAATCAGTGCAATATGTGTGTTCAAAATGAGAAAGAAGCCAACATCGCAGAAATGACGGGATAGCACATAAAGAAGCTCATTTCAAATTCTATTCACGTTCCTATAAAACGAAACTTTAAACAATTTACCTTTTTTTGGGTGCATTAATGAATTTTTCATTTCAATATCATTACCTCGCAGGTATGTGGATATAGTAAATCCCTTAGCGTGCATTGTAATACCGACTTTGATTGGGATTTTGCTGTGGGGAGAGAACTGGCGCGTGGCCATAGCATGGCAGTGCTTCATCCGAATGATGGCCGTCTACCACAGTGAGCTAACTGTCAACAGTCTTGGACATACACTGGGATACAAGCCTTATAATCAGTAAGTATACTAATCGCCTAGTTTGCACTTAAGGCTATTTTTTGTCGCCTAGTCAGACTCTTAGTGACTAATACCCCATCCCACTTTCCATCTCCTGCTCGGGGCCGAGGCCACGATTCCGTATTACGCTTGCCCCGCAACCTCGGTTGATGATAATCATAGGTATAAATAAGTCTGTCAGTCTATTCGCCAGTGAATCTATATTGTAGATTCGAATGCAGAAGAAGGTAAGAAACGTGTACGTGGCTAAGGCCTTGGCTTGACGAAGAAGAGGGAGAGCAAGAAGGAGAAGGGACGGGATGGTTTTAAGTCAGTAACATCTGAGCACTTTTCGCCATTTCACATCAAAACTGTTTTATTTGTATGTATTTCTCTACAGATCAATAAGGCCAGCGGAAAACGTATTCATAGCTGCAATAACCGGCGGAGAAGGCTGGCATAACTTCCACCACGCATTCCCCTTTGACTACAAAACTTCAGAATGGCCTCATAGCATAGACACAACAACAAGATTAATCCATCTCTTTGAAAAGTTTGGCTGGGTGCAGGACAAGAGAGAAGTGTCGCAAGAAACGATTAAGAAATACTCCTCGCAACATTGCGGAGTCAGCGAACAAATCAAAATGGTTGAAAAAGAATTATAAGTAAACTAGTACTAAGTAGTACTTTGTTTTGAAAATCATTTACAAAATTTTGCGTGGATTATTGTTAAATCGTCAAATAATTGTCGAAATGTACGTTTAAAAATATTTTTAAAGTATAACAATTTAATTTATTGTGTACCTAAACTAAAAAGTTCTGTTGCAACTTGAACAAACAAATGATTAAATGAGTTGTTTATATTCATTACAATATTTATTCAGAAACAAACAAGAACCCATAGAAAACAGTAAACCATGGAAAGTAGTGCAAAAAACAGTACAATGATCATACAAACACCATACAATTGCACCATAATCTCAGCTGTAAATGCCATCGCCATTCACCATAACTCAGACCAAAGCATTCAAACGTGCCGTTAAAATATCTAACTATAACTTGTCTAGGCACTATAGGTAGGTTACTTAGGAAAAGATTATGCATATAAGTTTAGGTTAAATATCTACCTACACAGCTAAAACATAGTTTTGTTTTATCTCCGATATGATTCGGTAAACAAATTGATGTATAGGTATTATTGAGGACACCGAAGATCTACTTAACCATTGTATTACCTATACCTATATAGGGGCCAATAACTATGGCGTTTCTCCTATACATTTCTTCAACTTTAATCTAGTTAACCAGAAATTTGATTGAATATGTTTAGTCAGAAATAAATCATTTCAATTCTATTAAAACAAAAAAAGAAATCATAGGTACATTAATCCATTATTAAGGAGATATTTTTTAAAATATACCTGAAAATATACTTTTTGGTACCATTTTACAGAAACAAGTTTTTCAAGTCAGTCAAGTCAAAAACGATACCAAAAACCTTTTTGGTCAGAAACGATACCAAAAACCTTTTTGGTATCGTTTTTTACATTTCGTTAATGTTAATGACTTTAACTTCATCGAAGAATAGGCAAGAAAATACGATTATAAAAAACATGTAGCCACCTTAGGAATCCTACTCGACATTAGCACGAACACTTTATACCAAAGAACGTCGCAGGCAACATGGTAATAAATTTAACTTTGGAAACGTTTTAAGTAATTAAGTTAAAACAATATAGTAGGTAACAAAGATATAATGGCTCACTAATAGAGATTAATTGCTTCACATTACCACATGAAAATTGAAATGTTACACGAAAGTTAATGTTTCAAGTGTACAAAGCCTACCCTTTTTTCAGGGATATTGTCTTTTAAAACGTTAGATTTTATTTATGTGTTATAACAGCAATCTAGCAGGCGGTTTACCTGATGGTAAGCAATCAACGCCGCCCATTAACACCCGCTACAACATAGGAGTTACGAGCACGTCTCCGACCCATTGGGGATTAGAGACTTGAAGTTTATAGGGATTGGGAGGGGTTAGGTGAGGGGTTGGATGGGAAACGTACATGGTAACCTCACTCACAGGACGAAACACAACGCCGATAAAATAAATATTGTAAAGGTAAAGTAATGTCTATACCTAATTTTTCTGAATACTGGCCAATGTATTGTTATCGTCAAATAAAAGTTTGAATAAAGAAAACAAATCTTGAAGAGGAAGACATTTTAGAAGATTGGTTATTAATTTCAATATTTTAGTTGTAGTTTTATATAATAATGTCGTTTCATAACTTTTAGGTTCCTGTAGGTAATGAAAGAGATTGAACAGGTGAACTCAACATCCATAAATGAAACTGCTTAATTTTAGCTCCGTTTCTATAATTATCTAGTTGACAGAGATAATTAAACTTCTTTGAGCTATATATCTTAGTCTAGCTATTGCCGCGCAGTTTCACCCGTTGCTCGACTCCTATTAGTCGTAGAGTGATGTTTCAGCCTATAGCACTTAGAAACATTGTAGCTATCTACCAGTGAAAGATATATCCAAGCAGCGGTTCCAACGATAACCTCCACATACAAACTTAAATTTTTTACATCTTTTTAACACATTGAACGCCATGGGGGACAACATATGGGCCACGCTAGCGGAGGATTTACCCTTAACAGTAATTTGTTGGCTGTCAATGACTTAATATTAGTAAGTATAGATATATTTTCTACCTTACTAGATGCATATTCCCAGGCATCTTACTAAATGATTAAGAGGAACGAGCAAGTTACCATGATTACTGTTCTACAATCTGTTTCACAATGCCAGCATATAAAAACATGATAATATCAACTGTAATTAGTTATAGATAAAAATCATTTTCATAACTTGTACTCGATGAGAATGCGAAATAACTATGAGACTGCTTGAAATAAAGTAGGTACTACATAATAAATAGCTATGTACAGTTAAATCGTTAGTTTTAGCGTACACAATCTTGCTTACAATTGTTATTGGTATCGTCGAGGCCAATAATGCTATAAACATTGAAGAGTACAAAGGAAATAATCTATACTAATATTATAAAAAGGTAAAATTTGTAAGTTAGTATGTAGGGGTAATGTTTGGAACCGTTGGTCGGATTGCCCAAACTCACTGATAGGTAGCTACAATGTTCCTGAGTGCTATAGGCTATAAAATCTCACACTACGATCAAATGGAGCCGAGCAGCGAGTGAATCCGCGCGAGAGTAGCTACTTAGTTCGGTAATAAAATAACTGCGACAAAGTAGTTTAAGTTCTAAGATGCATTTATGGGACTGCAATCAGGCACGACGTTACTGTGGCAGTGAAACCATCTTTTTTGGCAGGAGACGTTACGGTGTCCTGACCTTTCGCCTGACGCCGATGCTTACCACGCATGACTCTTTCGTTCAAGCAATAATATGGTGTGAGTAGCCTGGGCTGAGGAGTAATTTCCACCGAAAAAATTACCTAATAGATATATATATCTTTTCTATGTAACTTTTGCCGAATTATCTCCATTGCAAGAATTTTTTTTTTTAATATTGCCCTGCCCTAGAAATTTCTCCTGTGACGTAGGTGTAGGTACATCACAACCCAGAACCACACTTTGTGGATCATAGAAAGAGTTGTTACGTGCGGGAATCGAACCCGCGACATGTTGCGCGACAACCATTTGTCCGTGCAGTCAAATTGTCCTAAGAGTTAAAGTAAGAGTAAAAGTCACCCGTGTGACACGTCTAATATCATAAACTCATAATATAAACAATCCACAAGAAAAAAATACTATCAACACAACATAATATGTTTGTGTAAACAATGTGTAAGTAAGTTTGGATTCTCTCAACTTGCTACTAGAGCTGAAGTTTAAATGAAACATGAACATCAACATCTAAAGTAAAACAAAGGCACTGAAAGTGATTGAATTAAAATTCAAGGTTTCAAACTGGTCCCACCCACGTGTTTACTCATTTAGATAAATCTTCGACACTAGCACGAAGCTGGAACGTAACCAACAATTTCACACTTATCAACTATCACATCACTTGAGTTTAATCATAAGCTTTCATTGCCTTTCATTCACGAACATTAATTAAATTAGAGATATCATTAGAAGCTATCAACGGTCCAAAGTATAATGGATGTTTTCCAGCTATATTGTATTGCGAGTATTCCATAGCATACCGATGCTAGGCGATAGGATAGTTTTGCCATAACCTTAACTTGGTATATTTCAATTACATTGACCAAAAAGAAAAAAACTATTGACATAATGTCAGTACCAAATAAATTTGAATCTAAAATGGTATGAACTGTAAATTGTATTATTTTTTAGGAGAACAATGATTAAGCAGCTCGTCGAGTTTCTCTGTTTAAATTTTGATATCTATGAGTACCTAACCAAAATCTACGAGACGTCGGGTTGGCTACTAGAAAAATGCCTTTCCATATCCGTGTGACGGAGCATGACGTAATTTAAACATCTATCATTCTTGAATGAAAGATCACAAGGGACTGCACCCAGCTAATTTCTATGAAAATAGGTCCAGTAATTTAAGCGTGAGAAGCTAACAGACTAACAAACAGAATGAACAGTTACTTATTAAGCATGCATAGATAAAACAATAGGCCGTGTTATAATAAAAAAAAAGACAAAAGAAAGGTGTAACCAAGTTCATGTATTGTTCTTTATAATTAGTGAACGAAGAGCGATTATGGTGTTTCTGACATAATGAAGATTAATATAGCAAATTTCGTTTCAACTTTCTCTGTAGCAGTGTTGATGTCGTGGCCGTTAGGAACATTTGTAATTTGTTATTGAACTAAATCTATATGGTTGAGCAATACTTGTTGCTTTGTTGACATAATCATTTGTTTTATTATGACTGACTATAGGAATGGGATTAATATCAAGAGCTAACTTAGTCTGTCTAATCACAATATGTGTAGGTGGTGACTTTTAAAGAAATGTATAAAGGTCACAGGAGGGCTAGTACGTACGTTGCATTTCTAGAAAGTTCTTCATCAGCAACTGATGGCAGCTCTTCTAAAATCAGCGTTAAATGAGAAAAAAATATAAGACGTAGTGTAAACTATGAAGAATAAATACAAGACAGAGTGAAGACATTATAAAACAAAGACAGGATATATATTTCCTGCAAGTAGGTAGGTTTTTGTCTTTTTTATTTCTTTAGTCCTTTGCAATTTAATTATTATTCGTAGATCGTTGTTTTTAAAGAGGCGTTTGTATATTTTGGCACTTTTGTTTCAATACCTGAACCTATACCTGTGATTATAATAAAGAAATAATTGGTGTAAGTATTGTAATGTATTGTAATTTGTACCCTATATACAGGATTATTGGTTACACTGAGATCATTAAGCTAAAATCAAGATGTAAACAATAAAATTAATTCGATGTATGCATTATCAGTTGTAGTACCGTATCTTTTACCAAACAATGGCCATGTAATCGAGTCTAATGTTGTAATTAGACTGAAATAAACGTTACCAAAGCTCTTATCATAGGCAGGTACGTAATTAATTGCTACAACCAACGCAGGAATATGTTTTTAATTGACTAATTCTACATCATGTTGCCAATTAACAACGTGTTCCCACAAAATGCCTCGTTGAATTTACTTATCTTTTAGGTGATACATGATTTCGCTTTTACGGTACAAGCGCTTCTTAACGGTACAATATGATTTCTATTACCTCAAGACCATTCTTTAAGAATGCTTATTCACAAAGTTTGCTATATTATTTTTCAAAAATGCACATATAATTGTTTACATCGTGTACAATGCCATCGCTATTTTGTTTAGAATCTTAATTTTCAGTAGATAATTATTACGATTATTAAGCAAAACAGTCACGGAATAATCCAAGCGATTCCAAGGTCTCAGAATCAGACGCTGCAGCGAACTCTGTGTAAAACTATTGGCTGTTGTGATGCTATCAAACCAACCATTATGTTATTTAGACTATAGAAGAAATTGATTTTCGGTGTAAAAAAAGTAAACGGTGTTGCATCATTGCAAAACCTGCCAGATCGTCCATTTTGTGCACACATTCTCAGCGATGTTTCCGCGTTATATAAGCACTGAAATCCGTAGCATATTTTAGTTTTGCATTGTAATGATTTGAATTAAGACAAGGCGAATCACTGATTGCATTGTTTAGGTCTGCTGAAGGTTTATGTCAAGGTTAACAAACTGATCATGCTGGACGTACCATATCGCACTGAGCTTCACCGTCGTCGTCATAGAATATGGTGTCGCAGTCGTCCATCCCTGCAGATGAGTGCTCCCCTCACTCCTCAGCAGCGGCCGCCGGCGCCGTCATCAACGTCGGCACACGGCCGGACCACCGGCCTCCGAACTTGCACTAATTACCGATACGGTTACACACCGACACCGACTCTAAGCTTCCACTATCGTAGCGAATTTAACGATCGAAATCTTCTGGATAATCCGGTGAGTCACGCGACAGCGACCTGACTCGGTGCAACACTGGCTCGCTCCGCAGACGTTTCGGAAGGTGTGGGTGTCCTTAACGAGCTGAATCACACCGAATCACACGCTACCTCGAGGAGGTGCCTCGCGTTCACTTAACATTTTTTGGGTACTAACTAGCGGATGAGCCGATTGATTGTGTATTTTTTGTTTGCTCAAGGGCGATCCGCTGTGTGCGCTATGTTTTAGATGGTGTTTTTGTGGCCAACTGCGTAGATAGCGGCGGCCGGGGCGAGGGTGGCGCGCGCACTCGTCGGGGTGCATTGATCGGATCCCTACTGCGCATGTCCCCCTCTTTACGTTTCTCGACTGTTTTGACATTTGCTGGGGAGACCTTATTTTAACACGTCCGCTGCAGATGGAAATCGCTAGCTACAATTTACATTTTCTTGTACACTTACTTCGGAAATATGCAAAAAGAAAATTAGTAGCAATACAAGAGCTGTAGCCTTCAATATTCTCATTGAATAAAAACGTTACATCGTTAGATTAGTTCTCACTGTTTTAGCGCGTTAATAATGGCGGTAGGTTAGAGCTGTTCTATTCAATTATCACAATTCCCTGGCTGTAAGTACAAAAAGATGGTGAATGTAGTCAAGCCATTTATGGAGAGAACATTTGTTGGGGCCATCATCATCATGCGTGTTTATGTTGCCTACATCAGCTTGCAGTGAGAACAGTAATTTTACTAGAGTTTCTATACATCTTAATTACATATGTTCTTTGAATTTCAATTCAGTATCCATATAATATACTATACCTATTACTTGCTTTTTGAAATCATTATAATATCGCTATATTTAATTACACATTTATTCTATTTTTTTTTTACAAATAAGTATTTAATTAAAAATATTTTTTTTCTGACATTTCAATAAAACTTAATATTTATTAACAATCCAATTTGGAAACTAAGTACCAACCGTTTTTAAAACGAGACAATAACTAAGATCTAAGTTTGTATTTGGAACGCATTGTTCTTCATTACTAAAATACGAGTATTAAAATGTGAATAATAAAATTTATAATTAATAGTGTAATATTTCAAATACCATCTCCTTTGTTTTATGTTTTTGTTGTATATTTTGAATATAATTTTATTGTTTAAATATTCAGATAAGAACATACGAGCATAAATTAAAACATACCAACTTACATATTTAATTATGAATGACAGACATAGTTTAGGCAAGATTTTGGGTAACTAATAAGTAACTAACTAAATAGACACATATGTACGGTCTAGGGTCAAAAGTCCAATTGCATTCTACCAATGCAAAAATGTGTAAAACTTCTTTGTAATACAAGTTTAATAATCTAAAACGTGTCATTATATACTTTAAAATCTATGCTAGAAATTAATACTTAGGTAAAGTAACATCTGACACTAAACTATAAAAAAGAATTAGCCAGTTTAGCATTGGTAAAGTACGATAGCATTTTTGACCCTCACTGTACTTAACGTCGTAGAATAAAATGACACCATGTATGTTTGTTATTTTCACAAAATTTTACAAAGAGATGTAATCCAGATCCTTTTTGTTTTTTGTTTTAACTTCTAAATTTTAATATAGACACTTAATTTTCCACAAACGTACGGTGGGTATTAACTTCGTTGTTTTGAATGTGCTATCTTTTATCCTAATTATTTAAGAAAACTATCTAGATCTAGAACGTGAAACTCGTTTACTTATTCTAGGAGAGCGGCTTTAACTAGATTTATATCACTGTTGCTGAAACGTAAAATATGAAGGTGCAAATAAGGCTGAATATTTCAAAGTTACATGTTCCAGCAGCTGTGAGATATCTTTCCTCCGTATAAATGTGTAATACCAGGGTTTTACTACAAAGTCAACATTTGGGAAATATAATATTTTGGTCTTTTAAGCTTTATTTATTTGTGTTACTTAGATATTGCAATTTTTCAAGTGTTTTAAGTGTGGGAGAGCCGTGCCTCGGCACGAATGGGTCGGTTCGACCGGAGTGATACCACGGCCTCACAGAAAACCGGCGTGAAACAACCACAGCGTTGTGTTTCGCCGTGTGAGTGAGGTTACCGGAGGCCCAATCCTTACCCTCCCCAAATCCCTCTCCAATCTCTAAATCTCCCAAATCCCTAATCCATAAAAGGTCGGCAACGCACTCGTTACTCCTCCGTGTTGCGGGTGTCCATGGGCGGCGCTGATTGCTTACCATCAGGTAATCCGTCTGCTCGCTTGCCGACCTATCACATATAAAAAAAATGTCAATGAAGAACTAAAGAAATAATAGGTAACTTACTTTATCGTTATAATGACGCAGTTTAGTTGTTGCGTAACGCCATCTATTATTAGCAATTAGAACTACAGTTCTACAATTCACCCTCTTCACCAACATTGAACAAAAATAAATTGGCAGGTAGCTGTTTTGACGCGGATAAATAGTCAACAAACGAACCAAGAATCCAATCCCTCCCCTTCCCGATCTTTATATCCGCAACCCCTATCCCCAACAGGCCGGCAACGCACTCGTAACTCTTTGGTGTTGCGGGTGTCCATGGGCGGCGCCGATTGCTTAGGTAGGTAATCCGTCTGCTCGTATGTCGACTTATACCATAAAAAAGGAAGGTGATATCAGGGTATCGGCCTCACGGGGTTAAGACTCAGTGCTAATCGCTATGACTAAAAGGCTATGTTAGGCTAGGCTAAAAAATATGACATAGGTCTGTTTTTCAAGAGGGACGATTATCAAGCAAATAGCTTCCTTCCATTCTGGGTGAGACGTGATGGAATGCCAAACTTTTATGGACTAAGAACAACACCAACTCCTGATCCAAGTTTGTCACAGCGGTAACTCCTTCTGAAACCGTGTAAAGAGATATTGCATGTCCCATATCGGCTATATCCTTATAACAAATCACACTCCTGTTTTCGAATTCAAAATATTACCTTATTTCCCTCACCTCACAAGGCGTTGAACTACAAGTAGGTACGAGTATAATTATGTAGATTTAACAAGCGTCTAAACAAAACAAGTTTTCGTTAGTAAAGCACCTGTCTATGAATGAAGTGAAGTGTGTCAAGGCGCTCGGGACAGGCATTCACCTGCTCCAGTTATATATAATGTATAACCCCGCTGCGTAAACAGGTCCGTGTCAACGTAACCGCGTCCCAGAATGTTTAAAACGAATTTGTATACGGTTTATGGCGTATTTGTGTACTGTGAATTTCTGTGAAATAGGTTAAAGTTACACCATAGTTTTTTTATGGATAGGGAGATGAACTAGCTTGTGGATTGCCTGATGGTAAGCAATCGACGCTGTGTAAGGATACCCGCGACACCTGATGAGTTTCAAGAGCGTTGTCGGCCTTTTAAGACTTGAGATTTGGAAATGTTAAGATTTGGAGACGGTGGCAGGAGTTTCCGGTTACTGCACTCAAACGACAAAATACAGTGCAAGCGTTGTTTCACGCTGGTTTTCTATGAGGTAGAGGTTGTGTCACTCCACTGTATGTATAACTGTGAACATTTTATCGGAATCGTTGGAACCTACGTGTCATTCGCCGTCTGAGTGAGTTTACCGGATGCCTAATCCCTCCCCAATACCAAAATCTAAGAAAACTTAATCCCAAATAAATTGGCAACGCACTCGTTACTATTCCGTTGTTGCGGGTGTGCATGGGCATCGCCGGCATTGCTTGACATCAGGTAATCCGTACGCTCGTTTACCGTCTCATTACAAAAAAAAACCTTTTTTTGATTACTGATATTAACTTCTGTGTTTATATTTATATACAAACAAAATATAAGATTATTAGAATGATAATTAATTTGATTTAATACTAAGGCCTAGGATGCTTATCTACATATGACTTAATTTCTATCACTTATATTACATGTAGTGTAGATGTAGGTACGTTGACAAACAGCTGTCGTTCTGTTCTGATTAATTATTGTTAGATTGTGGAAATAATATTAATGATAGAACCTCAACTATTTCAGTCGTGAATACTTGGTGAGGTTACTAAATGTCAAGGGAACGTTTTGTAATGTCACAAATTAATGATCAAACGAAGCAATTGGAACTTAATAGTAACCGCAATAGAGTTCTAATTGGAATGATCAGATTACTTTAATTGTTAAGATAAAGGAACATCAAGGTTTACGTCTGGTTTTTGTAAAGGATTTGTTACTGTTTTCTGTTGTTAGAGTTGTTATTGGGCACAAATTAATTATTTTTTGTACTTATTACTTACTAGTCCTTCGAGTACAATTCTGACCCAAGAAATAGACAATGTTTCTAGTTTCTAACGAATTGAATTTGATATTAATGATGATTGATATAACAACTACACAGTTATCGCAGTGGCTGGGCAACTGGCTGTTGTGGAACGTGTCCCGGCGATCAACATTTTGTGTGATCAACAAATTCTTGTCTCGGGTCTTTTTCGGGCACGATATAGGAAAAAAACTAAGTGTGGGGCAACGTTTTTTTAAAAATAAACCAGCTCCGTATGTTCCTATTTAAAATATCAAGCTGGCTTTTAGACGATATTGTAAAATATGCAGATTTGGCTTCTTTATTTTATTGTGCCTTTCGCCATAATAAAACCTTTTTCTCAAGATCTCTAAATGTTTATTGCATATTTAAACTTCAAAATTAGAATAGAAATATTATTTTCGTTACCTACTACTCACCTTCATAAATAATTGTTTATCTTTCTTACAATTTTATAACACCCTGTGAGTTTATAGTTCTTCGGAATAATAGATCATATCCGACCTTAACATGTCAAAATAAATGGCAACCTTATCACTACCAACACTGGTCATTCTTTTAAACGGCATGCATACCTGACCGGTGACTTTACGGAGCCAAACCACATTCTTTGATATGAAGGTTAAGCACTAAGGTATGCTAAATTCTAACTGAGAAGGAACAGGACTTATGCCCTCTTTTAATGTAGGGAATTACTTACCGATGCCGTTCTTAGAGTCGAATTACATAACTCCGCTCTAACTAATTGTTTTCGGAAAAATAAGAACGGAATAATATATTACATATAACATAGTCTGACCATAAATACTGTTACAATTAAAAATAAACAAATTTTTTTTTATTTGTGACAGTATTTATGGCTAGACTAGGTATATAAAGATAATTAATCATTAAATTTCTTGTAGTGCGCCTGTCCGTTCAGTTAGGTCCACTTTAAAACATGGTAGATGCTACGTTAATAAAAAAGCAAACGCAGACTCTGCTTCTGAGTTTGCTTGTGACCATGACAGGTGTAACCGTGTAACCCTTACTGAAACATTAAGCCAATAATAAATAAAAAAAGGTACGTGCGCTTAATTCCGGTAACAATAAATTATTAATATTATGTAACGCGAAAGTTTAAAGTATTATAAATAGAACTTGTGACGTCATTTGCTGATTTTTAGTCCGATCTTTTATAAGCGTCTAATAAACTGAAACAACACACAACCTACAATATTCTTGTATAGGTATGTTCTAAATATAGCTTGTTTAAAGAATAACAGTTGCTTTAATAATGTAAAAGTCTTAGTTGTAAGAATGGGGTGAAGAGATAGCATCAAGTTATATTAGCTACACGCCCGCACCGGGCCGGAGGAAGTGATTATAATCCATGCAGTTATCCCCCTAACATCATTAATTCCGTTCTCCTTGCCAAATAGGGGAGCGAAATTCATAATTCAATAATTCAGTTTATGTAGGAACTATCCACTGTTGTTCTTTTCATTGTTCCTGTTGTATATATAGTCTACGCTTCCTTCTTAAAGAAAGTATGGAAGCTACAGGTTGTGTTTTTATTATTTGTACATTATTCAGGTATGAGGGTACAAAAATTAAGAAATTAAGAATCATTTTGGTCCTTAAATAAAACAAAATGCGAGTCATAGGTCTGACCACAAATACTGTTTTGATTTTCGCAAATTTTGGTTGTTTGAAAATAAAACCTTTAATGTTAGTAACGACGCAACCAAAAGCTATAGCTCGTCATAACCTTCTTCCTAATAAAAAAATCACAAAACTTTACACTTGGCCGTTCGTCTACATTACGAAGCCTTACTTACTAGTCATATTAGAGTGTAGAAATAGAAAGGAATTGAAAAATTCTTCCAGAATAACCCACTGGGAGCTATTTATTCCAAGTTCTTGGTAAAATTATTCTTTTGTTTCAAAACATTTCTAGTGAATCAAATAGTAAGTATTCTTTTTTAATTCGACATAGAATAATTGTTGCGTTCAAACTTTTTGTCAAATTATTTTTTCAATTCTGATTACGAAAAAGTTTGCATTCAATTTAATTGTACTTATTTAATATTTAGAAGCAAAAAGTATGTGAGAAACATCGTGAGACTATTTACTTGTATGAAATAAGTATCGCGTGCATGTTAAAAGGAAGCGTTGAAGTATTACTATAACTAACAAACCCATCTAGGTTTATTTCTCAGTAAAATATTAAAACAAACGTTTTACTTTTAACTGCGGCAGTACCCACGATGTTGTGCAAGAGCCTACATTGCGACTGTTTCTTCAGGGTGCGTTCAGAGTGATAGTGGTAGCGAGTGAAGCGGTTTGTTTCAATATAATTATCTTCTTATTGTAATATAGAATCTTGTTAGGTAATACCGAAAATATCTAGTTAAGGTATACACGCCACGTTTTTATACACTTAGGAAAAATATAGATGATTAGTGACTTATATGTATATTACAGTACGTATTTTTAACGTATATGTGTATGTACCTACGTATTTTTAATTGGACACCCTTTTTACTAGTTATGAGAAATAAAACATACAGTTGATCCAAATTCCAGAGTAAGCACCAGAATGGAGGAGGCGGGACACGTAAGCACACAACAGAGGTGCATAGTGCAATTAATATGCTTTACGTTAACGCGATCGAAATTTTAGTGCCCTCTGATTCGTTGGTTAACTTGGAGTAACCAATCAGAGCGCTGAACGTCATTAACATGTCGATCGGCTTGACATAATTCAAAAGCGCGCTCAGGACGTTCCACAATCCGCTCCCGCTACACTCCATCACTGAGTACACACATTTACTATGTAGGCTAGAATACTAATGCGCAAGAGTTTTTACATCTCTACGATAACAATCAACACTCGTATCTTCCGCCATTCTAATAGTAAAATAATTAATGTAACCACGCCGCCATATGTGAACAGCAACGCCTTGAAATTATGTAAATAAAATGTTTGTTATTTAATAACTTCGTAAATTATGAAGTTATTTCGAAAAATTACTTAAGGACTTCAAGTTGAACACGTTTTAAATTTGTGAAATTACTTCAACGCGGCACACATAATATAGACCTGTATTTCTTGGATCAGAAAAAATATAGGGAATGTACTTCATTATATGGACTAACTTCCGACCACTTCGTATGTTAATAAAAAGCTGCGTTATGTTAATCCATCACATGTATTCTTACCAAATTTCAACCATATCGGTCTAGCCGTTTTTGCATGAAAGAACAAACATAAATTCTCACAATGTTTACATTTATAATATTAGTAGGATAATATATAATAGGATTTACTGTATTATAGTAGGATAATAGGATATGATTTTCTGTATCACGAGTAAGGTATATTATGATATAACATAAAAAAACTTGCATTCAATCGTTGTTCTCAAAATAAAGATGAACACATAATATAATATAATACATTCTTATACACCAAATAAAGAAAAATCCAATTTGGTGCGGTCGTAACGTAAGTTTCGTTCTTAAGTTATTTGCGTACGTTCTGTGACGCTTCTTTATTGAGTACCCAGACTGCCAAATGAATTCTTCTGTTCAGTTGTTTTTAATATATATGTATATATAAAACGAATAAAAAAAACTAAGTAATCGAAGTCACCCGAAAGGCCAAGGAATATAATCTCAGAATTCAAAAGATCTCGAATTCAAGAGAAGAAGAGAATTAAATACGTCTATATAAATATTCCTATACAAATACATGTCCATAATATACATGGCTACATAAATATAATATATACGTAATACACTGAATCCAATTCCAACCTACGTTTGTTTGCCTCTTATTTATCTAATCTATTTGAAACTATAAGAAGTTGTTGTGTTTCATTGAATACTATGAAAAATACATACACGATTTATATTTACGCTAGCAAAACCGCGGTCAAAAGCTATATATCTACGATGCTACATCTTTTATATGAGCAGTCGTATTACTGATGGTAAGCAATCAGCGCTGCCCATGGACAGAAGCAATACAAGAAGAGTGTCGGCTTTTTAATAAATCGATGGAACGGAATCCAATCTATACTAATATTATAAAGAGGTAAAATTTGTAAGTTTGTATGTAGGGGGTAATCTTTGGAACCGCTAATCGGATTGCCAAAATTCTTTCACTGATAGATAGCTACAATGTTCCTGAGTGCTATAGGCTATAAAACATCACGCTACGATTAAATGGAGCCGAGCAGTAGCTAGTGTAATATAAAAGCTCAATAACTTAAGTGAGTAAGCGTGATTTCGTTCGCTACGTACATTCACATGCCGCGCGGGTCAAGGCGATGTCAAATCAATAAAATTATGAACTATTATAAGTACTATTACAGACTAGAGACACGACCTGTTTTAGTTTATGCAGTGCTGACAATGACAAAGCTGTAAAAAATGCAGCTAAAACGATCACTCTAAAACTGCAAAAAGTTGTAGATGAATTATGCTTGTCGTAAATAGAGTAATTTAACTTGATTATCAAAGGAATGTACTTAATGCGAGCCAATTATAGTGTCTGATTTACCAATTTTTATGACAAATAACATTAAAATATAGGTATATTGATGCATATACGAGTGTGAAAATGTAATATCACTTCTTGACCATCGGTTTTTTTTGTTAACTGGAAAATACCTTCTTTTGGTGGGAAAAAGCTGTGGTTGCGGGGCTAGCAGACCTCGGCCTAAAGCAAGAGAAGGAACGGAGTGTCTGACTAAAACCGGAGAGGTTTTAGTCAGTAAAAGTGTGACACTTCCTCTCTGGGCGAGAGAAGTAATTTGTTAATTATTATTATCCCCTTTACAAGAAAAGGGTATCACCATCTCAACCAAAACAAAAATAAATAAAAACAAAGTAAACATCAGACGCTTGTCTCCTCTTTCAAATAAGTTCATTGTAAAACCACTACATTACGTGCCAAGCTACCAGTCGTGGGCAAAGTTAATACAAACAATCACATGTCTTACAACTTTGTTTTCATTATATGAACTTACTACGATGTCGCCTGTCGTATTGTCGTATGTCGCAAGAACGTGAGTTAATTGTCGCGTAATCGCAGCGTTTCCTGTCAGATGCCATTGTCCTTTAACAATAAAGCTAGTTACATAACACGGGCAACCTAAATTATCTAGACCGTGTACACTTAGCTTGACAATAATTCTGATTCTATTGTTTTTAATTAAGTATTACAGTAGGTATCTGGACTGTACGATTGGGCCATGCTCGTTTTTTTTATATTGATGACATTTAGTTTGATAGATTCCATAAAACCCTTACACACAAAAATCATTGAAATAAAGTAAACTAGCTTTTGCCTGCGACTCTGTTCCCGTGGAATAGTGACTTCCTGCAGATTTTTTGTGTAAAAATCCTATGTCCTTTCTCGAGTTCCAAAATATGTCTGTACCAAATTTCACAGAAATCGGTTCAGTAGTTTAGGCGTGAAGAAAAGACAGACAGGCAGAGTAACTTTCGCATTTATAATAATAGTTTGGATGTACTCGTAAAGATATAATGTATTTATACATATATCTAATTGCTCTTTTAAAAATTTTTGATGTGGGGTCCGGTCGTTGTCAAAACTTTTATTTTGTGTGATAAGGCTTCGGATGCAGACTTTTTAAGTTGAGACGACCCAAAAGTTTAGGGATAATGTTTTTTTGGTTTTTGATAGGTAGCAAGCGTTTTGTTGCTAATAATACTGATTTAATTAATGAATGAAAACTTTCGATGTTTTTTTAAAAAGGTTTTACAGTCTGAATTAAAAAGATGTTGGATTTTCAAATACACATCCTCACGATACATTTATCTCTCTCTATCTCTATCTTATCATAGCTTCTGGCAATATCCACGATTTTCACCTGTATGTATGCCATGTTTTGACAGGAATGAGCCGGCCTTA